TAACTTTTTCCCCCCTTAATCCATTAGGGTTAGTCCAAAAGGATTGCAGTTTCTGAATTCTTGCAACCCTGATTACCAACCTCCATTGTTTCTACCCATGACTTCTGAAATGGTGGTTGATGAGGGAAGTGGAGACACATCCACCGAGACTAGAGGAAACAATGGTTTGGCTTCTACAGAATTTGAAGGATTGTCTCAGGTTTGTCATTGCACTGGTATCATTCTTATTTCATTGCAATTGTCTTAAGATTGTTGTAGTTTCCAATTAAAGTATCAATACAAAATTCAATTGCACAATTCTTGTCTTGCCAAAATTTTTGACTGAGATATCCGAGTCTTGATATCCATTGTTCTTTGCATTTATTTATAATCTTTTTCTAAACTTCTGGCCATATTTAGTTCCCTTGCATGTGTAATTGTTTCCTGGTTCAGGCTGAAACACAACTCTATAAAATGCTCTTGGAAGAGAGGATGAAGGTTGCAAAAGCTAATGGAACTGCACCGTAAGTATTTAATGATCTCCTAGCTTAGTGATCAAGAGATTTAACCCCTTTTTTTCCTCCCAATTTTCTTAGCGTGTTTTGGTGCTTCTCACTTGTAGGTATGCAATTTGTGGTGATGTAACGTTGAAAAAAATAAGTTTGACAAGGCCTTCTACAAAACCAAGGCTAGCAAACATAGATGGTGTAAACCAGGTAAACAGTATCACTTGGTTGAGGTTTCTTGCTATGATCTTTCTACCATAATAGGTCTTCTCATGTTTTGGTCTATGCTTATTTTGAACAAACTGGAAGATATTTTCACCTATCATGTTTAGTATAATTATGGCTTTATTGATTGTCACAATCCGTGCATTTTCCAATTTCCATGTGACCATTTGTTTCACTTTCATTAGTATTTCCAAAACTGAAGCTGATTTCTAAAACTATTGCAGCACTTTATGAAAACATATGGCGATCATTTTCTTCAAAGTCTTAAGCATCTGTGTGAAGAACTTAATCTTTCTCTGGATGGAGAGAGATGCACTCAAAATGTTCAACCTTCTGTTTCCGCTAAGATACTTACAGTACCAAGCAATAAGAAATTAACGCCAGCAAAGTTTGAAGCGTGGAAGATGTGGCACGAAGATGGCCTTAGCATCCAGAAGATTGCGGTTGAGTCCTGCTACTAACTAACTCTTGAATTTTGTTGCTAGCTTTATATATTACTAATGTCTACCTGCTTTTCTAATTGCAATTTAGAATTTTCCTGGGAGAGCAGCCCCAGTAAAAGAACAAACTATATTCGAGTATATCCTTGAAGCTGCACGCGAGGGATACCCTGTTGATTGGGCCAGATTTTCTTATGAAATTGGGGTGACTCGGGAGATGTTCATGAACATTGCAAGTGTTGTCTCAAGAGTTGGTAGAGAGAAGTTGAAACCTATTAAAACTGAATTGCCAGAAGAGGTAAAGTATACCGACAGATTTATGAGTTGCATTTGCACAGTTTATTAATGACTTGGTATTTTGAGATGCTAGAACTAGAATTTGATGTTCAATGATTTAAACTGTCTTTTCAATGATCAGGTAACCTATAGTCAGATTAAGGCATATTTGGCGATGCAAGAATTGGGAATTTCAGAGAATGTATTTCCATCTAATCACCAGGCTACCCTTGCAACTGGTGAACAGTCAAAAGTTGAAGAACCAATTGATCACACAAGTAGTGTTTCTCCTTGTGAGGAAATCCATTCAGTATCTAATCTCCAGACTGAGAGCACGGTCACAGATGAGCCCGACTTTTCACCTATTTCTGCAAAACGCCAAAAAATTTATGCGCCAGAGGGAAGAAGTCCAATGAAACTGGAAGCAACAGAGGAATCCTTATTAAGCTGGCTCAAGAAATTTGATGATGGGGTAAGTTGTGATTTCTGAACTTCCGTTTCATAATATCCTTGTTAAGCAGGCAACAAAAATAGACACTAATGCTAGTAATGTGCACAGGCTTCTCTTTCTGATCTTTTGGAGCACTTCAATGGGTCCACCGAGAATTCCTTGGTTGATCTTCTGTGCAATCTTGAAGGTGAGTTCTTGATATTTAGGAGGAATGATGTGTACAAGCTGATGTAACCAGTTAATTGCAACTTAAAACTAAGGAAAAAAAAAAGTCAGGGCAAGATTGTTTAGATGTCTGCTGTAAATAGGGAATTCAAAGCTTAAAAAAGCATGTAGCCAGTATGTGCTTTTCATGTGAATGGAGTTCATTTTGTTAGCAAGAAAATATCATAGTTCATATGCTCTTTTAGCAAGAAAATATCATAGTTCATATGCTCTTTTACCATATATGCAAACAATATTCTACCAAAAATCCAAAATGTTCAGGAAGTTCATCACATTTCTATGCTAATCTTAGGAATAGGCCAGTAATAGCTAAAGAGTTGGAAGCTCAAGGAAACAAGGATTAGAGTTAACAAACCAGAATTGTAAGTGAACAATAATTCCTGGAATCTGGGCATTGAAAGTTAGCTATAGAGGAAGCCCCTTAATAATAGAAAAACAACTCCGTGCCCAGGAAAAACGATGGGCTTGGTGGTTGAAGGCATATATAAATATTATGCAATAAGATGTAAAAGACATACATCACTGCCTTTTCATGTCGTGTAGAAGTTCCTCCAGCTCGACACCTATATGTCGCTTAATAGAAGTAGGTCCTTCCAGTGGTAACTTGCATTTCTTCTGCAACTCCACAAACCCGTGGATGTCAAAATTATACTTCTTGATGAGCTTCTTCTGCTTTGCGAGGTAGAGCCTCTTCAATAAATCTTGGTAGGTTGGGTCTCTTGATGTGAATAGGAAGTAAGTATACCCCATGACTATCCCGGCTGTTGTAGTGAAGAACGCAATTGGCTCCATAACGTCCCAAGAGAATTCCCAGAATGTAAGGCGAAAGAAAAGCCCAACCAGTAGAACAGCACCCCCCAGACCTGTCCATAGGATGCGACGAACCTGCCTGTGTGCAAGCTTGTCGAGCTCATCCATTCTTTCCTGCAGCTTCTTTAGCTCTTCTATGGAGGAGTCATCTTCAGGTAGAAGTGCCCTGGGCACTGCTTTCCTAACCTGATCAATTACCTAAACATTCAAAAAGTAGGATGGATTATATACCAAGCAATAAGTCCCAGGTTTAAATCCACTCAGTGTTTGTGAATCTTCACAAAGTGTAATCAATAACCCCACAATTTGACATATCACACTGCCTTCATCCCTTTACTTTTTCTCTTTCAGGTTAAATGATCAATCAGAGAGATTATAAACAGAACATCTAAAAGTCCCAGGTTTAAATCCACTCAGTGTTTGTGAATCTTCACAAAGTGTAATCAATAACCCCACAATTTGACATATCACACTGCCTTCATCCCTTTACTTTTTCTCTTTCAGGTTAAATGATCAATCAGAGAGATTATAAACAGAACATCTAAAAGGAGCCAAGCACTTTTCCACAATTCCACAAGCCCCACAAAACCTAATTTACTGGAAAATACATTCAGCCACTTACACTATGCAGATTAACATATAAAGGCTGTATATATATATATATATATATATATATATATATATATATATATACAGAGAGAGAGAGAGAGAGAGAGAGAGAGAGAGAGAGAGAGAGGTACCCGATCAGGGTGGAGATGGACTTTATCACGGAAGAGCAAGACGACACCAGCTTCATCCAGAACACGAGCAAAGGCGGCAGCCTCATCGGGAGACTTAGCGATTCCCATACCCTCGCACGCTTGCAGAAGCTCCGAGTATCCAATCACCTCCTTATTCCCCACTCCTAGCTTCTTCTTCAACGCCTCCACATTCACCAATCTCATAAGCCTCTTCACCTCCGCCTCCGAAACCAGCTCCCCATTCCCTCTCCCCTCTCCCTTATCATCTCCTCCCCCTCCGGCTGCCGCGGAGCTACAATAACTCGCCGCCGTCAATCTAAAACCGCAGAAACATCCATCCCGGTTACCTCCGCTCCCATCGAAACACGGCCTTAACCACCTGCTCACCGCCGGCGGCCTAATCCTCGACGCCGCTGCGCGATGTCTCAGCAAAATAAACGAAGTCCTCCACATTCCGTTTCCAACAATCTAAAAACGAATATTAGCACTAAGCAAGCAGTAAAAGCTATTTACGATTAAAATACTTAGCATTAATAGCATCTAGATTATATCGTGCGCCATGATTAAACTCAACGAAGGATTGCAGAAATTAGGGGAAAAAGACGATAGTTGAGGAGAGAGCAGAGATCACGACGATGACGGGTTGGTTAACGACCGTCAAAACGGAGTTAGTTACAACGAATCGCTGTGTTTTATAGTAACGGAGAGAAAGTGGGCAGTTTCCTTAAGCAATAAGCTTGAATTTCGGCCGTTCGAGTTTCGGGCAGACAGGTACGAATTCAACATTTTGAAAGTTGCATTATTTGGGTTTGACCCAGTAATATTGTGAACCTTTCCCTCTTAACGAAACAAGGAAAATGAGTAAAAATTTAATCTAAATCCCCTAAATCAATTATAATGTTCAGTTAAGTTCAAAATTAATTGTGTAGCAGGTTAGTGATATGTGTTTCTTTTTTGAAGACAGTCATAACGCTCTAAATTTTTTTTTTTTTTTTTAATTTTGATTCTTTTACAGTGTGTTTGATTCATGGAATAAGTCGAGAATGGAATACCATTTTCAGAAATAGACCTATTCCATTGTTTGGTTTGTCTTTTCATGACTGAGAATAGCATTTCCGAGAATAAGCTATTCTCTTTGCAGAGGAAATAGCCATTCCTAGGGGATCTCCTGGTATTAGCTATTCCTAAATATTTGGGAATAGCTTTTGGACTCTAATACCGAATATATCCTTTTTGTATTTTATATATATATGAAATATATAAGAATCTGATTCTGATTTGGATCCATGTTAAGTGCAAAAAGAAGATTAAAAAAAAAAAAAAAAAAAAAAAAAGGACAAGCCACAGGCACATTGTTCAACAGTACATTATTACTTAACTTGTAAGTTGGTAGGCTGCAGGCTGCAAGCCACATTAAGAACACAAACTCATGAAAAACATTTACAGGGCTCAGGTTCATCCTGAAGGAGAGAGTTCATAGTAGCTAATATATATGTCAATCAGTAGGTACTGACTGCTTCACTCTACCTTATTGTCATTGTCATCATCATCATCATCGATTCGTCGTCTAGTAACCTCCCTGTATGTACGCATTCAGTCGGTTCAGTTCCTCCCTGTGCTCGCTCACCACAGCGCGAACCACATCACCAATCGACACCATCCCGAGCATTCCCGAGTCGTCTATGATCGGGATGTGCCTGATGCGGTTGTCTGAGACAAACAAGTTCACATCAGATTTTACATTCAGTCATCCGTTTCTATGAATGCAGCCTATAAAGGGGGCAAGAGGAGATGAAATTGAAGAAAAAAAAAAAAAAAAAAAAAAAAAGAATTCTACCTGTCATGAGTTGCATCGCTTTCAGAACTTTAGTCTGAGGCGTGACTGTGATCAGCTTGTTCTGCAAAATAGTTCATGCAGAGATGCGTTATTCTTCTTATGCGGGCCACATAAATAAAATGTGAACGACATCAATTGCTTAATGTTTTGACGAAATATAATCAGGTTGGTTGGCGTGAGTGGCCGTGCACTCTTGTCCCTTAAGAGAGGTCGGGAGTTCAAACCCTCTCTTGTATGGAAACACCAATCTGGTCAACACTTTGCCCCTTAATTGGGTCGGCTCGGTGCGAATGAGAATTAGTCTGAATATGGTACGGGCTTAAAGGTGTCTCTTACAGTTAGAGTCTGCTCAGGACACCTCGTGGTATGACAAAAAAAAAGGTTTTGATGAAATGGACTAGAAAGTTAAGTTTACCTCTTCGGTCATGATATCGCCAACCTTTGTCGATTTAGATGATCTTCCCTGAACTATGATTTTCCTGAGATAATCTGGTGTAGGAAATAAAGGTATAATCAACGATATGTATACACTCAAATGACCGGAACTGCAGCCCAGAAGATACACTGCTAAAGTTACATGGATCTCGGAGATGGATAAATTTCAAGTCTCAAACCTAAAGATCAGCATATTGAAAAAGCAGCCCAAAGTAGAACTCTAATAACTCCGAACATTGGAAGAATGATTAGATTGTAATAATATCGTAGTTAATGAGGAGATCATGTATGTTTATATATAGTATAAACTTTATTAGATTGTAACATTATCCTAATGCTAGAGGTCTAAAAACAGAGAGATCAAAGACATCTTTTAGAATAATTCAGCGCAATCAGATACCTCTCTCGGTGATAATTCCAGCAATAGACTTATCTTCCCCGGGTTTTACCACCACCAAGGCTCCTACATTGTGTTGTGTCATCTGCAAGCGTCATAATTAGCGGAATTTCAGCTCCACAGTCATCAAAAGTAAAACTCAATTTTACTTTCGTTAATGAACTTTTGCCTCAAATTTTAATTTGGACATTAAGACCCCTGTTTGGTAAAATAGTTAGCTTATCAACTAATTTTGGCTCGTTTGACAGCTATTAATTGTTTGACTTGATTAAAAAAAATGTTTGGTTAATTAGCTTTTTGTAACTCCAAAATGCTAAAATTCAAAAAGTTGCTCAAAATAACTTTTTCAATTAGTTTTTTGAGAAAAGAAATTATACCAAACAACTAATTTACTAAACACCTTTCTACAATCAGTTAATGTTATAAACTAATTATACCCTCTAATTAACCCAATCAGCTATCAGCTAACAGCAATTTACCAAACAGGGCCTACATTGGTGTGTTTATGCATATACATATGCATCTATAACTAAGCACATATGTAAGTGACGAGTTAAATTAGAGATAAAGAGACAGAAGACTCACAGACTTCACAGCATCATAAACAGTGTCCTCCGTTGTGCACCAAAGCCATGATCCATCCGCACTTTTGCCCTTCGTTTTCAAAATGTCAGATATGGTTGTGCTCTCAAAGCCGTGCTCTTCAATACGAGCAGCTGAAGTTGACTCGAGGCGCACAGCAAGTGGGCGCATTACTGGACTGGCCAAGCGGACATGTCTCAGAACGGCAGCCTTGAGGACATTGCCGTGAGAAAAGAGTGTTTGCATTCCCCTTTGCATCTTGCCTACAAAGAGAAACGATTCTTGATTTAGACTTCAGAAAACATCTACCATGTAGTTTTCCCAGACCGCTGGTAATATGATTCTTGTACAGATTACAAAACTCTGATTCTTGTACAGATTACAAAACTCTATACAGACTCGATTTACAAAGATGTAAAATCAGAACTCAGAATTGAAGTTCAACAGTCTAGATAAAGTTATATTCTTAAAGAGCAACCTCTTTATCCACTCTATTATTTCAAGTTTTCAACTCAGAATTGACAACAATGAACACAGAACACAGTAAGGAAAACATCATATTAAGCAACAACAACAACTAAAACAGCAGATTAAAGCCTTAAAGAGCAAATACAGAACAACAAATTCAATTCATACTAACAGCCTAACATCCTACAAAATTGATAACACCAGATTAAAGCCTTTTGGGTTCCAAGTTCATCCAAAAAATGGAAGCTGATTATAGGAACACTTAGCACATACAGAACAACAAATTCAATTCCTTAAAACACCCAAAAGTTTTGTTTTAGATTTGTGCTACTGAATAGCCTCTCTGATCTTTAATTTACACAACTAGTTTAGTCACCACTGACCAGTAAACTCAAACTTTCTCAGTTATTCCCCAAAAGATCTTAGCTTTTACAGGAAACTATCTTTCTAAATCCTCAAAAGATACCACCTACCCATGCTTCCACAGACCAAAAGAATCAAGATTCAATAAATATTTCCCACACCCTTCACTCCTAATCCCTCCAGAACCACATAAAGATTCGGATAAACAGACAAGACCCAGTAAAGAATCAAGAGCAACAACAAAAGCCCAGAAGGCAGAAGCTAACCTGAGCAGATTAGATCCAAGAAAACAGAGCTGAGCTACTGAGATGACTGATGAGAAGGCGAGAAGCAAATCTAGGAAGGAGCAAAAAGGTGCAGGCTCTCAGAAACAAAAAATAAACTGATTCCTACTCCTTAATAAAACCTGGGCACCACACTAAGTAATAGTATTATTGCGCATTTCTCGCTATAGTGTCATCATGTAAAATATTTATATACAATAATGTCATATTGGTACTATTAGTAATAATAAAAGATAAGATAACCCATATATTAATATTAGTACCTTATCTTAACGCAATCTGCTGACAGATGGAGAACTTAAACTTATTACTCTCCCTGTGATTTAGGTAATAATAATTGCTTAAACTTTAATTAATGTTAAAATTGTGATTCTTTTTAAATAAAAAATAAAAAGCATGCGCAGGTTGTGAAGTGTAGTGGATAAGATCACAAGATAAAGGGGACCAACGCAGCGCTAGACGCAACAGCGCAGCTGAGTCATCTTCCACTTGGAGCATATCAGAACGCTTCATGCCCCACGGAATCTTTTCATGAAGCGATAACACATAATAATTACGGAGTACTATATTTATCATTTTTTATAAAAGACGGAGTATAATTTAATTATAATATTATTATTTAACTAATTATTACTGAGTATACTTTATTATACGAGTAATTAGTTTCCAACTTTCCACCTGCCGCCTGTTTTTGACGGTTTTTTTTTTTTTAAAAGAAAAAATACTATATGTATATTATTTTTTATTACCAACTTTTATTTCCACACACAAAAAAATAAAAAATTTATCAATATTTATTACATCACGAAATAAAATTTAGATTTAAAAGTTATATAACTTTTTTTTTTTCACCATGGAGGCAGGTAGGGCAGTGGGTCGTTATCCGTACCATCCTCATCAATCTTAATCAAAGACGTTACGACTCCCTGTTTGGGTGTTTTTTTTTCCCTAACAAAGCATTAACATAACTACCATTCCAAAAATTTCCTCCGAATTCTACTATATGTACTTCTAAATTTAACTCTGTCACTTTTATTTCATGATCTGACAAACAAGAATTGGATATTTTCATTATGTGGGTTCCAAAAAAAGTGTCTACATCAAGAAATTGTGAGGGAGAGTAAAAATTAAGAGTAAAAAATAGAAATTCATGTAGTATTTTTCTTTCACCCAAAATAAATAAATAAATGTTCCCAACAAATAAAATTTCTGCTACATATTTGAATTAATTGGAACATGTCAAGTCAACGTAAAAATATGAAATAAAAAATGATACATACATTTTTCCAAAAAAAAAATAAAGAATGATACATACACTATTATTCTTTTCACAATTCTTAAAAACCCTATGCACCTAGTTCCAATTTTGAAGCATATGGTAACCAGTTCAATTGAATTGGTCACACAACTAGCTTAATAACTATGAAGTACTAAATTTAACTCTTCATAAGAACCGTCTACTAATCGACTAAAAGTTTGCCCATAAATCAAAATTTTGAATCAAGTTCATAATCCTTTAAATTTTTTTTTAATAACTAAAATATCATGCTTTAAGAGAATATCTACGACTAGAAGGCTGTCATCAACACACAATAAAAGAAAACCCATTGAGGGGGCCGACACAAGTTGGGAGAGCCCACTGATTTGTATGCATCCATAAATCCATGGGCTGCTAAGTCGACCTTACGAATACTAGTACTAGGAAATATTAAATGAAATGAGTGTTATCAACGTCACATCAGAATCCTATCTTCAAACACACACAAGTCTTTTCTGGTTCACCACCATCAACAGCAATCTGTGCTTTTAATTCACAGTTGCATACAAATGTATAGAAGCCAGAATAGACATTCTTTTGAATTATAGAGAAGATTGAGATTCTACAGCTATAAACTGGCATCTAATTTCTCCAAAACTGCAAAATCAACACTGGTGCTAGTTGTTGCGCAGCTGGGGCCTTTTAACTTTAACAGGGGGTCAATCAATAGAAAAGTACAAAACTTGTCGCTTTGATTCTAATGAAAAACGGAATAAAGAATCACCAATCAAAAGACTCTCGCTCCCACCATTCAGCTCAAGTATTTGGGTGATGAATGATGAAACATCTAAAAGCCTCACATTTCTATTCTCCTACTGTAAGCCCAAAACCAAACTTGTAATCTTTCTTTTTATGATCAACCTGCAGGCCATAATATATGCGCACATCAGAACATTATTTGAAAGCACATTATTCTTTCGTGGAGATTCATAATTATACAGTTGTCTTGCTTGGCACCCATAAATAAAAACCATATTTTCGATTGGCAACTGATATGAAGGATGATAACTATATGGAGCAGAAAAGTAGAGAACGGGTACCTCTGCAGAGAGGATAAAATTCACACCCATGTTCAATCGCTCTTCCAAGAAAGCAGCAACACAGCCGGTGGAATCAATCTTCCCCCTCAGACGACACTGCCATTGAAACCAATGATTTAGAGATTGTGAATAGTTTGCAAGTGTCTTATCAACAATGCATGTTGCCAAATGCAACAAAAAGAATTGTATCACAATGGTCTGTCAGGATGGAATACACATGATTGGGATTTTTTTATGAGTATGCTTACGAAAGCACTTCGTATCAAGTGGGGTTCATTTTTCTTTTATTATTATTTCTCCTTTAGAATTTTCATAAAAGTCACATTTTCAGCAAGATACACTTAGCCTTGCAGATTTGCCTTTGATAACTTTTAGTTGAGAAAATTTTAGAGGCCAGGCATAATATTGCACAGAAATAATTCATTCTTTCAAGACTTACATCTTCTATCACCAGTTGAAAAGGGAAAGTTATACAAGATGCAAGTCCCAAGCTCATAAAAGTTTCACATAAAGTGGGGCAGAACAGCTCTTTCATTTTTCCTCAGATGTCTTTCCCAGGCAAGTAATGGATTTCTCTTACTTATATTAGCTTTATTATTTCTCTCTGCCAGTTCCTGATGTTGCAAGTACATATTGTTGGAAAGTACTATGCAATTCAATCACCTTAAGAGAGTGAAAAATGGTTTTAAAAAGAAATATTAAAGATCAGTCTATCATTTATGTATGTGGATGATAAGGTCCAACATCATGAAAATATATTGAGGTTTTATTGTTCCATACATACAAAAACTATTACACTAGCACATCATTGGATTGGGATTTGAAAATGACTTTGGCAAGATCAGCGTTGCTGACTTCTAAAGATGCTTATGTGAAGAAATATGGCCACCAAGGCATACCCAAGAACAATGTTGACGTGTTTAATCATAAAAATCATTATTCTTAACAATTAATAATCAATACCAGTGATAATTCCAACAATTCCAAAGGAGTGGAGTACTAGGAAAAATCAAAGAGAAAAAAGTGCAGGACCATGACAGTTGTTTTAGAAGATTTACAAGAGTAAAAATTACCTGCCGAAGAATATAATCATAACCAACACTTGCTGTGACATCTCCAGAAATGTAGTTGTACATGAAATCTGTTGCTAGAGAAACCTGCATTGAAGAAATGCCTTAATGTAAGTGCATGACCAGGACAGACATCTGCAAAAGATGTCATAGTTTTTTACCTTCTCTGAAACTTTTTGAACATAGTTTAATGCAACAAGTCCAGTGCTAGCAACTTGTCCTGTGGCAACCTGTAGGCAGAATGACAAACAATACTAGATAAATAAATGCTGAATCAACTTATATAATCCCAATTCCCATCTATCCAGTAAAAAAAAGGTCCAATTACAAACAACACATGCAAACAACCAAACAGAAAATAAATAAAGACAAGTAAAAACCATAAAACTTTTGTCACCTATAAACAACTTAATTTTCTAATATCAGATGAAATTGGAACCTTTTGCCTTTAAGACATTCAATTCAATATTTCTATGTGTACTGAGGAGAAAAATAGAAGTTCCACATCTAACCCTCATGTTTCAAAGATTGCTTGTGAAAACATGAAATCCAAATTGACCTTTAAACACGTAATGATAGAAATAGTAAAGAATATATTATACTGAGAGTCTGAGACCATTTAAATGAACGACCAAAAGAGTTGCAAAGGATGTTAGACATTGGAAATTTTCGAATACTAATTGGGATAAAAGATTAAAAAAAAAATGTTCATTGCTGTATTGTATCTTTCAACAAACTGGCCCTAGTCACTAAACCAGAGAATGCATACTATGTAAGTGATAATGGAACAAACACTTTAAAAAAGGTCTGGCAATACCATCTTATCTGTGTTGTACCGAGCAGCATAACCAATGCCTGATTTGCGATGCTGTCCAGCCCAGAATACTTCACCACCCAGAGATAAATGTGGAGTCACACTCTGTAAAAGAATATCAATTTAAAAAAAAAAAAAAAAAAAAAAAAAAAAATTGATGGATAAGGAGAGATGGAGTAGAATCCAAAATCATCAGGTCATTATCACCCCCCCCCCCCCCCCCCCCCCCCCCCAAAAAGAAAAAAAAAAAAGGAAAAATCATAAATAACTCATGCTAAGTGGTCACTGGTTGAAGAAATTTTTGGGAAATGGGATCAATGGTATGAACTATGAAGCTTAAAGTAAGAGTTTTAATTCTAAATTTCTAACTTCCTCTAAAGGGTTGTCAACATATTGTAGTTTTAGGCACTTAAATTTTACTGCACTTGTATATGCATACATGACCTTGCTAATCAAAGAGGACAAACCAAGGTCATCAAATGGAAAGGTGAACAGGTATATGTTTGCCTTCAACTTTATGGAATTCGAACTGAAAGGAAATTCAGTAATTAAAAGTGAGAGAAATTGTCACCATTGGCTTTGAGATATCTTGTTATGAAATGAAAATGATTACATAAATCAAAGCATACCATATAAGCAATGTATTTCCAAACATAGTAGCTGGAGAAGAAACAACTGAGGAAAAATATATATGTGTATGTGTGTAACACATCTCCATTGCAATTGTCTAAGTGGGTTATTATGATACCTAGTTGATCACAATCCCAGAAATGTAGTAACTAATGCAAAGAGTTGAGGGATCCAAGGGAAAACTCAATGATTAAAAGTGGCAGAAAATATTACCATGGGCTTTTAAATCTCTTGCTATGAAATACAAAGGACAGGATAAGGCAAAATTTACCGAATCAGTAATATTAATCTCCAAATATAGTGGTTGGAGAAAATAAAAATAAAAAAATAAAAAAACACAAATGTATAATATGTGGGTTGGGAGAGAGAGAGAGAGCACAACTCCACTACACTTTTCTAAGGCTCCTTTTGGTGGAGTGTCAGATTAGAGCAATTAGAACAGTGATGGTGAGATTAGTAATTGGATAACTCCAATTCCACTCATCCCACCCTTACCCATCCAATTGAAATTTCTACAATTGGAGGGGTAGACCGCTCCAACAGTCCAACCACTATATCAAACACGCCCTAAGTGAAATATTAAGATAACTAGTTGATCTCTAGTCCCAAGAATATGGTAACTAATGCAATAAATTAAGGAATCCAGAGCAATCCCTTATTAATCAGAAATTTCAGGCACTTGCAGACTATTCCTAGAGTAATAATTCAGAAACTTCATGATCAGATAAACTAGTGCAAATGTGTAATGCAATATTAAATTTGAGGAGTCCTTTATGTTACACTTGAGGATACACATGCAAACTGATCAACCTATTCATTAAATAGGGAACTCTCAATGAAGGTAACTTTTACAGACTCATGGTCAAGTTCACCAAATCTCTATCTTATGTAAGTTATTAGGCAACTCACTCAAGCTGGATGATTCGCATGATATTTTCATTCACTTATGTTATCCTTAAGACAAACAACAATGTTCATGCACCTTACACTCTCATTAGGGATTATAGCCAATCATCTGAACAAACAAGATACTGTACACAAAAGATATTTCAAGCATGTTGCAGACTGCAAAGGTCAGAACACCTTGAACTTTAACCTGATTAGAAATATATAGCTGTAAATGCCTGTTTAAATGTATGTATGAATATATGTATGTATATGCATATGCGTGTTTAAATAATTGAATAAAAAATTTATTCACTCTCTTGGGACAATAAATCTGTCTAAAGTAAGCATAAGAAGACTTGATCATTCACCTGAATGTAATTGGCTCCAAGCAATCCACCATTCCCTAGTTGAAATTGAGACCTATAGTCTTTTCCCTGAGTATAATTGTAGAAACCTATTATCATCTTGACTTCACCCAGTCTAGAGCATACACATGTAAAACATAAAATTACAATAAAAATTGTACCATGGCAAAGCCAGGTAGACATAGATAAGATGGTTATGTAGCAGAAGAACAAGAATTATTAAAATGCAAGCATAAAACCAATCCTATTAGTGCAACGGCATTACCTTGTAGTCAAAATTGACCATCCCTTGGGACATATGTGGCTCATTTGAGAGCTGGTAAGAAAACATAACAAGAGTCATCTAGGCATTCTTGTAGAAATAACTGCATCAAAAATTTCAGACAATAAAGATAAAACTATAAAGATCTTATATTTTACTTGAGCATTGGCCTTCAAAGAAAGATTTTCAGACAAATCACACTTCACCCTAGCATTAAGCCTCCCATCTGTCATCAACCTCCCAAGAAGCATCAACTGTAACAAACATGCAGTATTCACAAAATAAGATTGTTGCAAGATGTCCAAATAGTTCAGAAAGGAGTACTTCAACTACACACCTTTGGATCTATGAAGTTTGCACCAAACTCATAATGAGAGGTTGGAATTTTTATTGTTTCTGTCGACTGAGAAGGAATTTCTGTGGGTCCCATGAACACACTGATATACCATGAAAAGGAAAACCAACCATGTCAAACACAGTATAAGTGTATAACAGTTTCCCCTTCCTTGGATAAAAGGAAGGTATCCAGTGAAAACCAAGCATCTTCCACTGAAAATATATATACATATATAATTGTACCTATGACTAAGTGAAAATCTCTGATTAAGTGCTTTTGTAAAGTCAAACCGCATGCCTTCAAAAAGTTCTGGCTTCAAGGACACTATCAAGATAGTAAAAAATGAATTAAAATTGTTGGATTGGAATGATTCAAACCCTAATTTAACATCACAAAAGCTTCCATGAAACCAGTGAATAACCAAATGGTTCACAACTACCCAAAAAAGTAATGGTGATGAGATTATGATGACAGCTAATAATAATAACAGACCTGCAGGACATTGTGAGTGTATTACATGATGATAACATGCAGCTAAGATTGTCTACATGCTTAGCCTACACAGTAAACATTACCTGCTCATTATTTTAGAGGCCATGCACATTGAATATGAACTATAGATATTCAGACAGTGTAACTTATTGTCTTCAACAAATCATATTCTGCAAATTTTCTTCCTAGAAATAATCGCCAAGAAGCTCTCAGAAGAAAAACTAAGCACTTGATAACACGGAGTACTGTATTAAAAGTTCGACATGAATTCCAAGGTTTTAGGAACTGTATTCACAGTAATAAAATTGGAATAAACTAATAGCGCAACTAGCATTCCTGTATTCCATTTCAAGCTCCATAGAATCCAGGAGAAGGTAACAAGTTCAAATGAAGAATAAAAACAAAGAGAAAAGCAATGAGATCAAAGGCGAATAGCTATAAAATACTGACTAAAAGCTTCGCGGTGGATTTCCTCATATGGAATAGGGCAAGGCAGGTTCATATAATCGACTTTTTCCGGTGCCGCCGGCTTTGAATCCGCAGGTGGAGCTGCGGCGGCAGGGGGAGGGACAAAGGCAGCCATTGCTGATTTGATTCTGGTCTGGCTTCGGATTCAGCTGCGACTAGTAAGGAAAAAGGAGAGGGTGTGAGAGACACAGAAAATGAAAAACCCTTCCCCAAGGACTCAAAAGTACCGAAAACCCCTAAAATCTGCTCGGTGTGTAACCCGACCCGTTTTATCATCCGGGCCGCAGTGCTTGGATTTTTTATTTATTTTTGGGCAGAATAGGCAATTCCCAGTCGTTATATCGTGGACCGCGGTGCACATACATCACGGTCAAAATGACGCGCCATTAATTTTAACGGAGCACGTATTTTTTTGTATGTTAATTACCAACTGATACTATAGTATATCTAAACCGACACTGTCTCACGTATTATTTTTATATTATCAAATGAAGTTGTAGTTATATCAAAATGATACTGTAGTTGTGGTGAAATGAGACTACAGTGTATATAAAATGAAACTGAATAACATTTCACATATTTGAGTGTATATTGTACAATAAAGTTGTAATTATATCAAAATGATCATGTAGTTGTTTTTAATAAAACTATAATGTAGATAAAATAAAATTAAATAGCATTTTCACATATTTGAGTCTATAAATATCGAAATGAAATTGTAGTTGTGTTGAACTGAAATTGCAGTGTATACAAAATAAAAACTGAATAACATAGTTACTTTTTGCGGAAGGGTGCGGAACGGCGGGAAACAGATGCTGTTTCTTTTCATTAAACAAAACGACGTCGTTTTGATACGCAGTGCATAATCGATTATGCACTGCGGTGCACGATATAATTTGCCACAGTACGCACCCACTGATACTGCTAATTATATGTAAGCAATATAAAATAACACGAGACCAATTAAAGCAAGTAAAATCTTTATTGATCACGGTAAAGGCCCTAAGTACAATCTACTTGGTTGCTCTGAGTACCGACTGAGTGCGGTCGGGATTCTCTAACAACAACCTATCGATCGTCCAAAAGTCCTTTACACTGTAGCTACTGTGGGTATTTATAGCCGCTATGCCGGGGACAGGATTCCAGCCGTTCGGCATGTCCTCCACGTAGCCACCACGTGTCATCCCCCCGGGTGCCCTGTCTGTCGCCATGAAGAGCCGCCACGCGTCCTTTCGCGTCCTTGTGCCAGCTCTTTCGTCGAAGGGCTACCGCTCGGTGGTCGACACCAGCGTTCGTGCAACTTCCGGCCGTTCCCGACCGGGGTCTCCATGGAAAAAGCCCGACCTGCCACCTGCAAAGATCAGAAGAGAAAGACAAAGGCAGGTCGGTCGTGGTGGAGCTTATGTCGGTCGGGATATTCCCTACCACCCACGATATAATTTGTTTATTTTGACACTAGTTTGCCTTTAATATTTGACTGTATCAGTGTATGTATAACCACTTTGTAAAAATCGGCCTAGGCGGCTTGCGCCTCTAAGTCGTTCCGCTTTCATCGGCCTATGCGGCGTGCGCCTCTAGGCCGTTCCGCTTTCATCGGCCTAGGCGGCGTGCGCCTCTAGGCCGTTCCGCTTTCATCGACCTAGGCGGCGTGCGCCTCTAGGCCGTTCCGCTTTCATCGGCCTACGCGGCGTCTAGGCACTAGGCTCCTCTAAGCCGTTCCGCTTCCGCTTTCATCGGCCTACGCGGCGTCTAGGCACTAGGCTCCTCTAGGCCGTTCCGCTTTTACTATTACGCGCCCAAAAATCAATCGGGCGCCTAGGCGGCCGGTTAAGCGGCAAAATCGACCAAATTCGACCGAAATCGCCAAAATTAGCCTAAGCGGCCAACTCGGCCAATTTCATCCAATTTTGACCGATGTCATTTAGTCCCCGTATACTTAGTTTGATACTTTGAATCTTTGGATGATTGAAGTATTTGAGTATTTTTATTTTTTAATATTATTTTGATGTTATGACTTATTAATTATCATTATTTCATTTATTTGGATGTGTTATTTGATTGAATGTTGAAAACAACCACAGTAAAATTGTCAAACTGCAATTGTGCCACTATTTTTTTGGCGCCCGACTAATGCCTAGCGCCTAGTGCAACCATGTGTATAACCAATGTGAAAGGTTATGGGACAATTCTGCAATTACTGTGCATAGTTCAATTCATCAACTAAGAAGCAACTTCAAGAATACAACCAGGTGATCCACAGTAGGAGGATGCAGTTTTCACACAAGAAAATGTTACAGAGAAGGCCCGAAGGGTGATGTCTTTATTCCTATCCAAGTGATCCTCATCTGAAATACAGATCCGTGTTATCAGATTCAAGGCTGGGCGTGCTTGACAGTCTCGTACACAGCTGAAAAGTCGAGGTCACCCAAACCCAAGCTCCTGGCCTTCTTGAATGCCTAGCAGCAAATAACATGCCAGAACGATAAATAAATTTAGAATGAGCAACAAAACCCCAAAAGGATGTCCCCAAGTAAAACGGTAAAGCAAAAAACTTCAATGCATGTTACAAGATCATTTGATGAATGTCGTACCTCGTTTGCAGCAGCTGCAACGGGCATTGACACTGCGTTTTCGTCCCCAAGAGCAAGGGCCAGCCTCATGTCCTTCTGCTGATGTTTCAGAGGAAATGCGGGGGAATAATTATTTTTTATCATGGAAGGTCCTTTCATCTTGAACATTGGGTTAGCAACTGCTCCAAGATCCTGCCAGAAGAAATTTTCAAAATTTTAGTCTTAAATCTGCAGGTTATTTATATAGAATATGTAACCAATTTGCTCACCAACACATCAAGGAGAGTTTGCTGTTCCAATCCACTTTTGTCAGCCAGCACAAGTCCTTCTGAAAATGCATTCATCATGCTGCAGAATAGACAATAGCAAAGTCAATTCAGCAAAATCATTAACTTTGTTTGATTGAATCTACAAATTGCATCTTTAAATGTGCATATCTAAGAGGGATTTGTTTATACATTTAAAGAAAATGAAAATAAGAACTTTGCAAAGGACATGCATGCTTTTTTCTTTTACTGTTTTAAGCTCTCCTTTAGTTTTATTCTTTTGGGAGGGTAAATGGAGAAACTAAGAGCCATTGGCTACTTTTGAGAATCAAAGCACACCATTATACATATAGTACTATCTAGAACCCTGAAAAACAAGAATAGTGAACATGGATTTGGAAGAGGAAAGAATTTCTCAATCGTATGGAATAAAAGAAAACAAACTTTTAGTTATATAGCTTAAAAGAGCATACAGTTTCCCGAATACCATTGTCCACTCCATTCACACATCTTGTTAAAAAATGGAAACAATTGTAGCAATAATACAAGCACCACTTGTTACCTGCCCATTACCATGTTAACAACAAGTTTCATTTTTGCACCATTCCCCACCTGTCCCAGGAAAAAGGATTTCTTTCCCAATACATCAAAAGCAGGAAGTACTTGATCATATAAAGCCTACGGTAAACCGGAAAAAAAGGTATTACAATTTTTTTTTTTAAATATCAGAAGAAATGCGCCATAAGATAATGATGACATAGATACCGTGCAGACATGTATGTTTACCTTATCTCCAGCAGATAGGATAACTAACTGCCCATCTTCAGCGGGCTTTTTACTGCCTGAAACTGGGGCTTCAAGGAAACTACCACCTTTAGAGATAATTGCCTGCAAGAGTCATAGTAAAAAAAAAAAAATATTAGCCACTCAACTTTCCATTCTTTTCTCTACCCTCACCTCCTTTCATCTATTTTACAACATAGATAAGCTGCAATCCATAAAATTATGCAGAGGAGCATCATCCTAAATCAAGCAAATATGCAATGATGTGCACAACAGTGTAACGCGCATCTCTGTGTATGTTTTCTTCAATTTCACAAATGTTGTGGAATTTCTTTTGTAAGATACTAATTATTTTGTTTGGCTAATGTGTGATTCTCCTATTGCAAATAAATATTGATTATGAAGTATTTGGTAGGATGTAAATCACGGTGACTCAATGGCTCAGCATAAAGGGCCAAATGCCGATGCGCACAAGGGATCTGCCCACTTTGGGCATAATCCCCACACTGCCGCTGCCGAGGTTTGTACCTTGGTCTCTTCTCCCAAACTAACAAGAAGTAGATGGTTTCACATACAAGTGAAGTGAAACCAGTATTTTATAGGATAGAAAACCTTGTGATGGTGAAGCACGGTTGGGAATCTAGTTCAGACCTCATTGATTTTCGAAGAAGTATCAGCATCAACAGTTGACATGTCAATATAACCCTTCCCATCACATATTTGCTCAAGAACACCATTTTTGTCGAAAACCACCTAAGCAATAATCAAACGTGAGTAAGGTCCTGAACTTTAGAATATCAAAACTATAAACACCAATCAGGAATCAGGAAGTTGAATTCTTGACTAACTGAAAGAGCTGCAGGAGGGTCAGACAACATTCCGATTGTATACTTGCATTTCTTTACTACTGCTGCAGGAGTTTCTCCAACAGAAGCCCCATGTTCAACTAGCTCATCACACTGCATCCATGAAAATATCATGATGAATATGCATTCCTTGGCTTGGTAGGATGTATTTTATTCTCAATGAACGACATAGTAGGCAAGACTTGCTGGCATGTAAATAATCGCTAGTTCCATCATTGTAAATCAAAGACATAAACATCTGGGTCATCATGCAAGGGCGCAAGGCAAACCATTAATAAGTGAACTTTTTTTTTAACAAACAACGATTAATTAATTAGTACAGAGTAATATCCAAGTTTAGAACATCCCGAATAATAGAGGGAGGGTTATGGAACCACTGACTGATCCCCTAGCTAAGACATGGGCGATTCGGTTTGCAGACTGTCACGAGAAACTTTAGGCAGTTAAACAACCTAGCTATTTGTTTTATATCATTCACTATATCATTAATTAATAAGTCAACTTAAGAACCAGCATTTGTAAATTTCCAAATTCCTATAGTAAATTTGGAGGGGGGAATGATAAAAAAAGCTACCTTTTCAATAATTTGAAAGTGAAATTTTAAACTGATTATCACTTACCAGCAAGTAAAACCATAATCTAATACGGAGTATATGACACTAGAACCAGGACAATGAATATTATCATCAGTTCAAATATAAAGTTAAGCATTCATACCACAGCCAAATATAATTATGGATTTTTTATTTTTGAATTTAGTTTTCTCTACTGCTGTCTATCACAGATTCAACCACATCAGTCAGTCATCACTATTCAGTAACCATTCCAACAACTTATATCTAAACGAGATAGATCTTCAAATCATCAATAACAATATATGCGCACATAACCATATTCATCTATGCAAAAATCCGTTTAACAAAGATAGATGCCATATTTACCCGAGAAAGAGTGCGATTCCAAACAGTGACCTTAAAGCCATGGCGGAGCAAGTTCATAGCCATAGCTTTCCCCATTATCCCCATCCCTAAAAACCCTATCTCCTCCATTTTCCTCGCTCTCTCTCTCTCTCTCTCTCTCTCTCTCTCTCTCTCTAACTGCGTTCACTGTCAATGGGAGGCTGAATGCTCTCTGCTTTGCTCTTTCTCCACTCAATTACTCGCTCTATTTATTGATTTTTTTCCTAAAATAAGTGCAAAAATATGCATTGCAAATGACGTCATTGTTGAATTTGTTTTCTTTTTTTCCCAGTAAATGTTACCGAGTATTTGGAGTTTTGGACCCACAATATGGAGTTTTTTTTCTTTAATAAAAAAAAAAAAAAATCAAGTCATTACAAAATAAACCTATCTTTGTTACAATATAGATTTTTGATTGTTACATGCATGAGAAAATAAATTACAGTATAATTTTATTATTAGCTTTTGTTAATTAATATTCTTTATAATAATGGCACTTTTATTCTATTATTCAACGAAATGATAAAATTGTCATTTTGTTGTTAATTTAATAATAAAAAATGGTGAAATAATGACTTAATTTGCTATTACAAAGTAAAGACTACGAAGTACATTATAACTCATGAATAAAGTGTAGGTTTTTATAGGGTGGAATTGTCGACAAATAAATATAAAGAAGTAAACTAACATATGTTGTGTATATTTGACCGGTTCAAACCAATAAAATTGTGGTGACTAAGTTAATAACTTGACAAATATTTAAGCCTGATTTTCTAATTTGATAAGTAGTGAAATATATTGAATTATGTCAGGGTATGATGATCAGTCGGTATAGGAATGTGATTGAATACATCTAGTTAGTGTTTTTTTTGGGGGGACTGAAATGCATGTGTATGGTGATGGTTACTTAGAAAACGACTATCTAGCTCGTGAGTTGTAAAAAACGGATCGCCGTTAATACAATTATATGTGAACTTCATAGTAGATTATAATGTAATATTTAAACTTTAAATATTTGTTCTCATGTTAAATTATTGTGTTGAAATTACTTCACTACTTAAGTTATACTCTTGATAATATGATTTTAATTTTAATATGAAAATTATGTCATTTTCTTTGTAAATGTAACAATTAATGGTCTGAGTGACTAAGTATGTGCGACATTATTCTCATACGATAATGTCACAATTTGATTTTTTGTTTATACCCTCTTGGTTAAACTTAATATACTAAATTTTTATCCAATTGACTAAGCTCGTCCTAAAAAAAATTTGTAAAATATTATGGGTTTGTTTTTTAAATGGCTGATTCGTCATTTTTAACGTTTTGACCATGTTAAAATGTCAAAATTTTCGTTTGGTAACTCAGCTGTTTGAAGCATCAGTTTGCTCCAAACCATTGAAGTTCCAAACGCTGCAAAATGCAACGTTTTGAATTAGCGTTTTGGGAAAGATTAATTCCTTCTCCAAAATGCCCTCCTATATGTTAATATTATAACTATTAAAAAATAATAATAACAATAATCTAGAGAGCCTAAATGAGCCTTAGGCTCCTTTTACTTTCCCCATCCGATGTGGAAACACATTAGATGGGGAAGTGTAGAAAGATGGGGAATTGAACTCTTCTTATAGAGGAGTTCAACCCCTTCTTTCTCTTTTACTTTCGATATATATTTTTATTTATTTATGTATTTATTTATTTTTTATTATTATTACTCATTATTATTATTATTATTATTACTATTATTATTGTTGTTGTTGTTGTTGTTGTTGTTGTTATAATAATAATAATAATAATAATAATAATAATTATTATTATTATTATTATTATTATTACTATTATTATTGTTGTTGTTGTTGTTGTTGTTGTTATAATAATAATAATAATAATAATAATAATAATAATAATTATTATTATTATTATTATTATTATTATTATTATTATTATTATTATTATAGTATCTTGTTAAGGATTTTTTTAATTACATAATAATAATAATATTGTTATTATTATTGTTATGACTGTTTTTTTAGTTCTTTTTACATTTTAACCGACAATCTAAACAGCTAATTTTATCAAACATCTTTTTACAACCCGCTGATACAATTCTCTGGTCAAACTTATTAACACAATCCGCTATATATGAACCGTTAATATAATGCGATAACGCTAATCGCTAATTGCTAAACAAGGCATTTATATAATAGTGACAATTACTTTATTTTTTGCAGTCACCTTTTTTATTTTTAATCTAAAATCGTTCTCAACAAATATTTTTAAAAAGTTTAAGAATACTTGGATATCATAATCATGCGTCTTATCTACTTGTTTTATTTGACGATTGACCGGTCGATTTCCGCCACGTCACCGTATGTCTCTTCCACTCGTCTTCATAGTTTAGGATTCGTCCGATTTTGCCTTGGTGTTTAACTGTTTAAGTGTACTGTGTACTCCGTGAGGTGTCGATTCAGTGTGCGCGGGTTCACGGAGGACCTCACACCTTAATGGGCTTTGCAGGTGGGCCGTGACAATATTATGTTGGCGATGGGCGCGGGAGCGTTATGCTATGCGTGCAAGCGTGTGCACTATGCATGGTGCACACGGTTGTAAAAACGACGTCGTTTTAACATTTGACTTAAAAGAAAAAAAAATTTAGAATTATATAATTACACATTCATAACTATACATCCAGAATTATATAACTACACATCCATAACTTCATAACTATAAATCGATAATTATATAATTACACATCCATAACTTCATAACTATACATCTAAAATTGCATAATTGCACATCCATAACTTCATAATAATAAATCCAGAATTGCATAACTACACATTCATAACTTCATAACTATACATTCAGAATTGCATAACTACACATCCATAACTTCATAACTATAAATCCAGAATTGCATAACTACACTTCCATAACTTCATAATTATACATTCAGAATTACATGCATAACTACACATCCATTATTTCATAACTATACATTCAAAATTGCATAGCTACACATCAATAACTTCATAACTATACATTCAGAATGTGGAATTATAACTTCATTACTATACATTCAGAATTGCATGCATAATTACACATCCATAACTTCATAACTATAAATTCAGAATTGCATAACTACACATCTATAATTTCATAACTATAAATCCAGAATGAGAAATTATAAAATTATGAACATATGTTTACGTAACTAACGGCAATCCAAAATGATTTTATTTATTTATTTTTATTTAAGTAAAACGATGCTATTTTTCAATCAGTGTGCACCATGGTGCACATGGAATTATGCTGTGCAACCGAATGCACCATGCGTATGGTGCATACGATGCAAAACGATGTCGTTTTGGTTAAAAAACGCGCGTCCCACTTAAAAAAGAAATCAGGTTCGATTCCCGGCAATAGCATTTTTATATATCTATAAATTCATAACTATATATCCATAGTGAATGAATGAAGTAAAAATTCACAATGAATGAACTAAATATCCATAATGATTGAACTAAATATCCACAATGAATGAACTAAATATCCAGAAATTCATAACTATATATCCACAGTGAATGAATGAAGTAAATATCTACAATGAATGAACTAAATATCCACAATGAATGAACTAAATATCCATAAATTCATAACTATATCTCCAGAAATTCATAACTATATATCCACAATAATGCTATTGTCGATAATCGAACTTGATTTTTTTTTTAAGTGAGACGCGCGTTTTAGTCAAAACGACGTCGTTTTGCATCATATGCACTATGCGCATGGTGCATTCGGTTGCACAACATAACTATTGGATGCAGAGCATAATTTGCCATGGGCGCGTGAAACTTTCAAATGTCCAGCCCATCCCATGAAAAATATAAGATATTTTTTTAAAAAAATTTTTTAAAGAAGGGCTGAGCTCATAAGTGGAAATATGAGTTAGACTTCCACAAAATTTTGTTTATTCCCATTTCCTCATATCCAAATGCTCACATAAACACATACTTAATACTTTAGTATTGGTCTCTAACTATTTTATTGTTTATCACATACATAAATTTTAATAACATTGAAGGGGACAATTTTTTGTTATCATACTATGTTAATCAATTGAATCTAATATGCTTGAAATTGAATCTAATATACTTGCCATATTCAAGCTATAATAACAGTTCAAACTGAAAAGTTTAAGTTTGTTAAATATGTGTCATGTTGCATTTAGTGCACACACCATGCATAGAATTGTTGTGCAGCACAATATGTGATGCATCACCTTTGAGTCCTAGGCAATTACTTGTGTTTAGATGGGAGATTAAGATTCTAAAAATTTTAAGTGGGTGGTTGTCAGTTAACTAATTGAGTTAGTTATTTTGAGCAATAGAACATTTTATTTTTTTGTTTAAGACTATTGGGATGTTGTTAATTACAGTCTAGTAGTTTTAAGAAAAGGGTATTTCAGACTCTTAATGCTCTACATGTGTTGTAAATCTTGCCGAAATTGAAATTCAATAAATTGCATTGAGCTTTGAGGAAACGTTCGAAGAGGAGAAAGAAAAATTTTCCGACTGAGAAGGAAATGGAGAATAAAGAGAAGAGGGGAAGAAAAACAATAAATTGCTCTCATTATTTTATCCATTAAATTTTTTCGATTATTTTCGCCAAAGGGATTGAAATTGAGAAAAATTGAATAGTTACGGTATTAAATTGCAGTCTAGTAGTTTCAAAAAAAGGGTATTCCAGACTTCCAGTGCTCTACATGTGTTGTAAATCCTGTCGAAATTGAAATTCAATAAATTGCATTGAGTTTTGAGGAAACGTTCGAAGAGGAGAAAGAAAAATTTTCCAGCTGAGAAGGAAATGGAGAAGAAAGAGAAGAGGGGAAGAAAAATAATAAATTGCTCTCATTATTTTATCCATTAAATTTGTTCGGTTATTATCGCCAAATGGATTGAAATTGAGAAAAACTGAATAGTTACGGTATTAAATTGACAATTTTGAAACTCTTTGATTACAATTAGCAATACCTCAATAGTCATAGGACAAAAAGATAAAAATTTACCTTTTGACCAATTAGTAGTATCAACTGATTATAGAAAATGTGTTCAATAAATTAATTATTTAATTTAAATGTAAAATGACGTATATTGTACTATTTAGTTAGCTCTTAAATTACTTTTACAATTTATTGTTGTTGATGTTATTAAGCATTATAACTATTTTTTTTTTTTTGGTTTTATTTTCAAGAATTGTTATAATTATAAAGAAATAGTCCATTGTTGATGAGAATTATATATATATATATATATATATATATATATATATATATATATATAAACATAAGTTGTATATATATAAACATAAGTTAATAATAATTCAACATAATGATTAACACAGCTAAAAGTGTTTGCCCCGTTAATCAATTCAAATGTTTCCTTAATGATATTATAAAATGTAAATTGATTTAAAAAATAATAAATTAAATAAATATATATAAATAATAAAATAACCAACAACTATTAATGTTAACTTATATTTTTAAAATGAAATGCAATAAGCTAAGCTTATATCCACCTTTAAGTTTGGACTTCATATAACCCGCCCACAAATCTATGAAGAAGTAAGTCGAGTCAATTTAATTTCGAAATTTAATATTCAAGTGTAGACTTTTAAGCATAAATAGCCCAACACAAATCAAAATAGCCTTTAATATTTGTAACATAAAGCCAACTAACCCTCATAATAACGCTAGAAGTGTGCCCATTTTATTTTAATTTTTGAAAGCATGGTTCCAAACTTCCAATTCTATACATTTGCATGCTACTTAAGGTGTGATAATGAATGCAGACGTCAAACGCGGTAAAACAACGTACGCAGGATCGTTGATGCAATGATGCCCCACTCGCTGCATGTTTTCACGTTAACTTGAAAGAAAAAGTCGGATCACGTCCACGCTCGTCTTACAATTCTCTCCGATCCACCTACGAAAATCCATATTCGTTCCTTTTTCAATTCTCCAGCAATTTTTTAGATTGTTTCAAGGTTCGTGGACTCCATATTCAATTCCTTTCAACGTTTTTTCTTACAATTCAAACAGCTTACGCCGAGCGAGGATCGAGTAGTGTGCGAAGAGCGAGCGAGAAGTGTTTCTGAATTTGATCGGGTTTAATTTGCTGCGGTGGAGAAGGAAATACATACAAAATGGGCGAGGGGGATGATAAGGACTCGTTGGCGTACTCGCCGACGTGGGTGGTGGCCGCCGTCTGCACTTTCATCATCGCCATTTCCCTCTCCGTCGAACGCATCCTGCACTACACCGGATCGGTTCGTGCTCTTCATATAACGTGTAATTTTTCCAATCACGATTGCGTTTTTCTCGCACGTACGCCTCATTGCTCTGAAGCAAGCGGTTATCTTTTGATATGGGGATCCGTGAAATAATTTCTAGCTCCTTTTCTGTTCGAATTGGATTGGATTAATAATCCGTTGTATTTGAAATGAAATCAACATTTTTCCTTTTCGCTCCGGCGGGGATATATATATATATATTGCTGGAATTGATTTAATCTGTTAACAATTTGTTCAGCATCTGAAGCGGAAGAATATGAAGCCCCTATACGAAGCTCTCCATAAAGTTGAAGAAGGTTAGTTCATACCTCCTCCCTCTTCCTCTCTCAAAACCTACTTATATTTGAGCTCAGGCATGACAACCCTAATAATACTGTTAACTATCTTCTTCTGAATTTATTAGTGCATACTTTCTGGTATTGCTATGGTTTCTTTGTAACTCAAGAAAATAAGAAATGAAATAAGAAGAGGTAATTCTTCTTAAAAGGTTGAATCCATAATCTCAAGGGCTTCCACACTCTAAGGATAAAGCATTTATTCTTTCCAAAAGGTTGAACCCCAACTCTAAGTGCTCTACACTCCGACCTGCATCTGGGAGAACCTTTGATTACTGCGCACAAGGAGCCTCTCACTTTGAGAGGTTGCTCTCACACTGGTCGCTGGTAAGACTCGATCCATGGTAATTCTTTCTAACTTTCACGACCAGTTGAGCTACCCATGCGGATCGGACAGAGCATTTATGATGTATAAATCATGGTAACTTAGCTGAACCACATAGACCAGGAGGATGTATTCATGAATTGATAACCAAATGTGTGGGTGCAGAGTTGATGCTGTTGGGGTTTATATCATTGCTGCTGGCTGTGTTTCAAGATCGCATAAGCAAAATCTGCATACCTCCGGAGGCGATGCATCAAATGCTTCCGTGTACGGGACCTCAGGAAAAAGCCGCTGTGGAGTCTGAAATGGCGGCTCCTCCTGTTTACCCAGGCGCAGAGTTCGATAATCAGCAATCGCCGCCTCCACTGCTCGGTTTCCACGATGAAGGCGCTCCTTACTGCGCTAAGAAGGTAACATAGTTTGTTCCTATTCTTCTTCTTCTTCTCCCAACATCCAACCCTAATGATTCTCCACACTCTAGCCCGATATAGTATATGAGAGGATATAAAGGGATCTTAGATTACACGATGATGACATTATTTTTGGAGTAACAAGGAAACACTAAGTGGGCACGTGGTAAATCCCGCATTGTGATCATAATTGGATGATCAATCTATGTTAGAGATGTCAATTGTACTAATGGAGAACCCAACCCCGCCTTGACGGAAATAGAGAGAAGTTTTGGGGTCGTTTACCAAAATAGAAAAATGGAGAATTTTCTGGAAAAACAGAGAATTGAAGAAGTGGAAGAATGAAAAATGGAAAATTTGTTTACTAAAATCTTATCTCTAATTTCCTAACTCCTCTCCATTCTCCAACCTTATGTACAATTTTAGAGAAAGATTATTTGGATATCTCCAAATGGAAGAGAGGAAGGGGACGCGGGTAAACAGTGCATGGTTTAAATAGGTCTTTGGTTTGAATCCTCCTGTGCACGTACTAATGTGCTTTCTTTGTTTTTTTTGTTTTTCTCCTTTTCTTTCGTTTCTTTGCCTGTTCTTTCTTTCCTTTTATTATTATTATTATTATTATTATTATTATTATTATTATTATTATTATTTGTTTTTCTCCTTTACTTTCGTTCTTATTATTATTATTATTATTATTTGTTTTTCTCCTTTACTTTCGTTCTTATTATTATTATTATTATTATTATTATTATTATTACTCCTTTTCTTTTATTATTATTATTATTATTATTATTATTTGTTTTTCTCCTTTTCTTTCGTTTCTTTGCCTGTTCTTTCTTTCTTTCTTTCTTTCTTCTTCTTCTTCTTTTATTATTATTATTATTATTATTATTATTATTATTATTATTATTTGTTTTTCTCCTTTAATTTCGTTATTATTATTATTATTATTATTATTATTATTAGGGTCGCGTTCTGGTGCGAATAGCGCGTCTAGGACGAAATGCGAACCAATCAGCGCGCGCCACGTGTACAGATCTAGGTGCACATATATTTATAACTAGGTTCACATATAGTTATTACATGCACTTGTAGGTGAAAGTAGGTACACTTGTAGGTGAAATTAGGTGCACCCGATCATTGAATGTTGACATGTGGCGCGCCCTGATTGGTTTGCATTTCGCACCTGAGCGGCCATTTGCATGAGATCGCACCCCATTATTATTATTATTATTATTATTATTATTATTATATCTTTGTTGTAGAAATGTACAAATGCTATATGAGATTATTGTATTTAATGAAATCAGAAAATTAGAGAAATGAAAAATTGGAGGAATAGGGAATGAAAATGAGAAAACTGGAGAAATGAAAAATTGGAGAAATGGAGAAGGAAAACTGGAAAAATGGAGAAATGGAAAACTGGAAATGGAAAAACAGAAAAATGAAGTAAACGACCCCTTTAATTCTCGGTTGAGGATGGAAGCAGGGATGGAGAGTACTCTCCCAACCTGACCTGACCCCACCATGAATATATATATATATATATATATATATATATATAAGTATAGAAGTATAGAAGTATTTAAGATACAACTATATACATTTCCCGCTTCCGCCCGTTGACATCTCTAGTCTAGGTTGATTTGACTCAAATCAAGAATATTGATAAGTCATTTTTGCTGAGAGTGGAACTTGAAACTTGTAACCTTGTGATTACCAATTCAATACCAACTTGACCGTGGTTACCCTTTAGGTGAGGACATTTTATTTATCAGTTGATCTGGTTAATCTAGCTCTAAGAATACTGTCTCTCCTGAGTCTGGGAGTCAGATTCTAACAGTATATACATACTTATTTTTGCAGGGTAAGATGCCAATACTATCTGTCCACGCCTTGCATCACCTGCACATCTTTATCTTTACCTTGGCAACCGTGCACATTACATCTACCCTCATTACCCTTATATTTGGAGTACTGAGGGTCAGTTCAACTTTCAAGAACTACTTCGATTGCACATTGATATTTTGTTGCAGTGTTCTGTTTCTGAAATGATTGGCATTGATATGTTAACTCATGGTGTAGATACGGCAATGGAAGATCTGGGAGGATGAAATTGCAAAAGCTAGTTACCAGACTGAGACTGAGTCTGGTATGGATTCTCTTATCTAATTCTTTAGTGGATCAATCCTGGACCTCCTGGTATAGTTTTTGCCTGGCCATTTTCTGGTTTATTTCTGTTGTGATACATCTTTGTCTGAATTTCCTAGACGGTAATAAGTAATAACTATTGATTTGTAAAGAATAATACTTTCTGATGATTTAATTCATTATTCATAAAGTGTTAGATGTACATTTGTTATTTAATCTAGTTATGAATTGAATACCCGTGCTTCTCTGCTGTTATGCAAACAGGGATCACTGATGTCCAACAACATGATTTCATTAAGTCTCGATTTAAGGGCATTGGTAAACGTTCAACTATCTTGGGTTGGTTGGTATGCTGCTATTCTCTATATTCTTTTTGAAAATGGAAAAGAAATGCTAAAAATCCTTGTTTTTCCTTTACATGATTGGAACAAAAATAATTTCGATTTACCTTCCTTTTTGTTGAGCTTTGCAGCACTCCTTTGCTAAGCAGTTTTATGGTTCTGTCACCAAGACAGATTATATGGCACTTCGTTTGGGATTCATTATGGTAACTATTTCCAAATGTCTATTAGTTTTGATACATTGGCTTCTCGATTTACATGCTGCAGAGTTGCTCGATGCTGTGTTTACAGTAACTTTTTTTCACAGACGCATTGCAGAGGAAATCCAAAGTTCAATTTCCACAAGTACATGATTCGCGCGTTGGAAGATGATTTCAAGAAAGTTGTTGGAATTCGGCAAGTGATAATGAGAAGTTCATAATAAATGTTAAAACCGTCATTTTATAATCTTCTTTTGCTTTCAGTAACCAGTTGCAGCGCTTTCACTGTCATGATTTTTTAAGTATCTTTTATGTTTTTACAGTTGGTATTTGTGGATATTTGTCATTCTCTTCTTGTTGCTGAACATTCACAGTACGTAACTTTCCAAGCTCTTCATCCTGCAATTACCATTGCATCCTTTCATGTCCATTAAAGTATTCAGATTACTTTCTGTTACAGTCTGTTTCTTGATTTGATTACATTTATTCGGTAATGCAGATTGGCATACATATTTTTGGGTATCATTCATTCATTTTGGAGTGAGTGACAGTACTAATTTCTTTTTAATTTTTTTATTTTTTATTTTTGGGGTTAATTTCTTAATGTTTTTCACGAGTTTGTTCTGTGTTTCCAGCTTGTTATTGCTGTGGGTACTAAGCTGCAGCATGTGATTATACAATTGGCTCATGAGGTTGCTGAGAAGCATGCTGCCATAGAGGGTGAACTGGTTGTGCATCCTTCAGATGATCACTTCTGGTTTCACCGCCCCAGAATTATTCTGTATTTGTTACACTTCATTCTCTTCCAAAATGCTTTTGAAATAGCATTCTTCTTCTTGATATGGGTAAGTAAAACTGACTGTGCCTTGGTGGTCTTGATTGTTCCTGCATTTACAATTTCACAGTGTAGATTTAATCCCTTTGCAGACGGAATATGGCATTCATTCCTGCATAATGGAGAAATCCCAGTACTTTGTGCCTAGGCTCGTCATAGGGTATGATCACTAACTCCCTCTGATGTTGTTGTTATGGTAAAATGACCACTTTTTCAATACCCGTTTGTGAGTAGCTATGCTCGCTATAGAAATGACGAATGTATAAATATCTACATTTTTTTTAACTGTTGTGACATTTCTACATATAGTCCTTGACTATCATTTAAACATAGTCATGTCTTCTCTATTTTCTGGAGTTTTGATTATCACTCCAAGTATAACAAACATATAGTCCTTGACTATCATTTAAACATAGTCATGTCTTCTCTATTTTTTGGAGTTTCGATTATCACTCCTAGTATAACAATCTATTACAGCCTTCTGGATTGTAACATCCTCTAATACACCCACCCACGATATTGTTGTTGACCATTTTTTTAACACACTTTTATTAGTTATGCTCACTATAGAAATGACGGGTAATAGCTAGTGTAGTCACCATCGCCTCCACTGAGGCGCGATCTCATGATCTCTCATATGAGAGAATCATTACATGTCATCTGAACACAAGATGTTTGGCATTGTCATGTCTTTTCCATTTGTTGGAGTTTTGACTATCACTTGAAGTATAACAAACTATTACCCCCGGGCCCGGGCTTTCCCTTGATTCTCCCTGTATGTAAATTTTAGCTGTGAGATGTTGTTTGCAGGTTTATCATTCAGTTACTTTGCAGCTATAGCACATTGCCACTGTATGCCATTGTTACACAGGCAAGTTCTGCAATAATCTGCACCAAACCATTCCTGAACAGTACAGCTCCTTTCAATTCCCTGTTGTCTTTTAATCTGTTGATCTATGGGATATGATGTGCAGATGGGAAGCCACTTCAAGCAGTCGATATTTGACGATCATATACGAGCCAGCCTCGTCGACTGGGCTCAAAAGGCGAAGCAGAGGCAGGGGCAAAAAGCTGCTGCAAATGCTGCTGGAGATGAAGGTTCATCATCCACAGCCACAGGCGTGCAGACGGGAGAGATTCGGTCAGCCAACAACCAGGACCAGTCAGCCATTGATATTCGCCAGGCTTAAAGAATCCTTTGCAGATTGCAATATAATGCCCGTTTTGTCGATCTCCAACTTCCACAACTCTTTGCAGCTCAGGCTCAGGATCTGATCATTTGTGTATATAGGTGATGGCGAGTCCCCCGCGCTCACTGTACTAAATTTTGTATCATGTAATGTGGTTTAAGACTTAAGAGTACTATACTAAATTTTGTATCATATTGTGAGTCTAATTTTATTGTAATGAATGAATATGTAAGATCACGATATTTAACGAGTTGAATTATATGGTAGAGTAAATTTCATTTTTAATTCTATGACTATTGGGGTTTTGTTAATTGCAGTTTACGAGTTTCAAAACTGTCAATTTAGTTCATTAATTACTCAATTTTGGTCACTTCCAAATTGTCGGTCAAAACTTACCAGAAAATATTATAAATTTGGTTGATTTTTTTAATGGAAAATCTCACATATGTTACTTAAATGTTCACTCTAAGTAAAATAATGATCCTAGCTAACTGACTCAAACAAAAAAAAAAAACCAATAAATAGTTTCATACAAGGAGGTGAACTTAGAACCATCAATAGTCTGGTCAATTTAACTAAAGATATGTCAATTGAGTTATAACTTGTGATTCAATGTATAAAAAGTGATAGTTAAAACAATCCGTTATTACCTATTATTCAACACAATCAACTATTAACTAGACAACTTAGTTGATTCTTATGTACTACGTAATAAATTATGGACAATGATATATGATCGAAATATAACAAAAATTACATTTATCATCAAATTGGAATATGCTATACATCATTATATTGATAACATAGGTGTAACCACAATAGTAGTAGTTGGTTGTGCAATGATCCATTGATACAATGATACTCCTTAGTATACTACCCAAATTGAGGGCAAAAATGGAAAGTGAACTTTTAAATGACTAAATTAAGGGCTACGATAATATGTTAAACAAGAGGGGTTAAAGTGTGATTATAGCAAAAACATTACTCCTCCAAAACATAAGCGGATAAGGAAGGGCTTTGTTCCGGTTCGGATGAGCTGTGCCATAGATTCCATAAATTCCTACTTTCAAACCCACTGTTTAGCGGGAAAAATAAAACTATCTCTGCTCACAATACGAGCTCACCGCCACCGTTCGTCGCCGAAAATCACATCTATGGACGGCGGCGCCGGCGCCGGCGAGAGGAGAAGGCACACCGTTGCCTCGAAACCGAACAAGAGGCCTCGGCGGAGCTCTGAAGCAAGGCTCAAAAAGGAAGTTCCCGCCTGCGGGGGAGACATAGAGGATACCGTCGCTTTCACCGGAGAAGAAACCACAAAAATCAGGGCTTCTCTGTTGCACTGGTACGATCGCAATCGCAGGGACCTTCCTTGGAGAAGAACGAGTGATACTAAAGCGAATGGTGATGAGGGTGAGAGAGAAAGGAGGGCTTATGAGGTTTGGGTTTCGGAGGTAATGCTGCAGCAAACTAGGGTTCAGACGGTGATAGATTACTTCAACCGGTGGATGCAGAAATGGCCGACTGTTCAACACCTCGCTCGAGCTTCTCTTGAGGTGTTGTAATACTCATTCAGTATTTTGGTTTTCTTGATTGAATTTCTAGTTTAATTTCATTTCATTTTTGGATAACTGATGGAAACCACAGCCACTCCACAGTGTATACGGGTAAATCCCGTCTTGTGACCTGATTGAGAAAGGTTCACAACAGCCAGTCTAGATTACTCATGACTGATCGCTCAAACCGAGAAGGTCAATCGACCGCTCACACTTAGAGCCGACCTAGATTGTCCATAGACCATAGGTTGCCCCCACTATGAGTTGAACTTGAAACCTTATGATTACTGCTAAATGCTAATGGCTAGCCTGATCAACTTGGCTGAGGTTGCCTTTTAATGTTTTTTCTTTTATATGTAATAGATGAGAAAAATCGAATATGGTGCCTATAATTTAATTTCATTTTTGACATTATTGAAACTGGTTTGCAGGAAGTGAATGAGATGTGGGCAGGTTTGGGCTATTACAGACGGGCTCGATTTCTCTTAGAGGTTAGCTGTCTCTTGTATACACTATTTGTTTTCTTCTGTGATTAGAAGTACAGAAAAGTGCTATACATAAGCAGAGATTCTGGTCTTTGCAAATTTTATTTTCTGTTGATAAAACAGAGATAAAGTTGGTAGCTTTATGACTTCTAGATTCAATTAGCTTTAGCAGGCATAAGATGAGTGGTAGCTGAAAATGAATGGTGAGGTTAGACCCTGATATTTGATCTGCAGTATTATGCCAGAAATCTATTCTTCATGTTAAAGGATGTTTTACCACCAAGCTAAATGTGTAAATGTTCATAGTATATTGTTCTCGTATCTTTTTAGCAAGCATTGGTTTATTTATACGGATAGCTGTATTTTGCAGGGTGCAAAAATGATTGTTGAAGATGGTTGTGGTTTTCCAAACACAGTTTCTGGTCTTCGTAAGGTTAAGGGAATTGGTGAATATACAGCTGGTGCCATTGCCTCCATTGCCTTTAATGAGGTCAATATTTTCATCAAACTTTTGCTTTGAGAATGCTTTCTTCCCCGTTTACATGTTTCTGGTTTACACATTTCCTATTTAGGCAGTGCCAATTGTTGATGGAAATGTAGCCAGGGTCACTGCAAGGCTTAAAGCCATATCTGCAAATCCTAAAGACAAGGTGACCATCAAGAACTTTTGGTGAGGTTTGCTATTATGAAAGAATTTCATTTACTGTTTTCTTCCTCAAAATAATTAGGGCATATTTTAACATATAAACGATTTCCATCCCCAGTAATGATATGTGATAAGAATGTAGCATGACCTTATCCTATGGTTTTCTTTACAACCCTTAATTTTGTATTCCGACTTGTTTTGAATTAGGAAACTAGCAGGTCAATTAGTCGACCCTTGCAGGCCTGGAGATTTAAACCAGGCTCTCATGGAGCTCGGTGCCACAATATGCTCCCCTGTGAACCCGAGTTGTGATACATGTCCTATCTCTACTCAGTGTCGTGCTCTGTCACTCTCTGCCCAGGACGAGTCAGTTGTAGTTACAGATTTCCCGACAAAAGTAGTCAAGGCCAAACAGAGGCATGATTATTCTGCCGTGACTGTAGTGGAAATACTAGAAAGCCAGGACATGGAAGAACACGAATCTAACAGTAAGTTTCTCATTGTAAAGAGACCAAACGAGGGTTTGCTCGCTGGGCTCTGGGAGTTTCCGTCCGTCTTGTTAGATGGAGAAGCTGACTTGACCTCGAGAAGAAAGGCTACAGACAATCTTCTCAGATCCTCATTCAACTTAGACACTAAAAGGTTATACAGTGTAAATTCAAGGGAACATGTTGGAGAATATGTTCACATCTTCACTCATATTCGTCTTAAGATGTACATAGAGCTGTTGGTCCTGTGTCCAAAAGGTTCTACAACACTTTCCCTTCTTTAGTTTAAAAGAGTTTTTTTTTTAGTACTACCGACTTTGTTACCATGTAGTATCTGTTCATAACTACTTTCTCAACCTACTGAAGCACAAAGAGTCGATACCGCCCGCCCTTATTGGGGTTCAAATTCATGACCTCCCATTTGGGAGAGTCACTTCATGTCACTAGACCACAAGGTCATTGACAGTTTAAAAGAGTTTATTTTTTATTATTTGTTGGTGCAGGAACAAGAAATGTGCCTGGTAGGAAAGAAGGTAAGGAGGAGACTGCAATGTGGAAATATGTTGACAAAAAGGAACTTTCTACCATGGGATTAACATCTGGAGTTAGAAAAGTAATGTTGAAATCTTAAATTAGAGTTTCTATTGACTTGGTAACCTTTATTTTAAAAAAAAAAAAAAATTGTGAATTTTTGTATGCAGGTGTATGACATGATTCAGAAGTACAAACAAAGTAAATTGGATTCAATCTCAGAGAAACAAAGACTGAGAAAGTAGATTGTAGTGCCACTTGAAGCACACCAATTGAGAAAGTATTTTGGCTCAAGAAAAACCATAACAATTTTTTTTGGGGTGACGAGGGAAACAAGTAAGCACTACTGGGATATGTACTGAGTAAACGAGAGAAATTAGCAGGCACTATTGAAGGTGTAGACTGTTCTTGTGTTTGATTGAAAAAGTATTTATAAAAATGGAACTCAAATATTTCACTCATTTGATTTTGGAAGTATTTAAAATAGAATGAAAATTTTGTAATTTTTGTCTATACTCGATTCGGGGGCTCAGCACCACTACTTCACAAACTCTCACAGTGACGATCACAAAATAAGTGGCATTTATTCACCTAACCTCACTGTGTGGATAACAAAGGCTCCTTCTCCAGCTCTCTCTCTCTCTTCCTACTTCTTTCTTCTCTGTTCACCGCTAACATTTATCGTTCTCCCCCTTCCATAAAAAAATATTCTCAAAAAGAAAAAGAAAAGAGTAGGAAGTAGACATAGTAATGTTTGATTAGTGGAGAGATCAGAGAAGAAGCTCGATTAGGCTTACTTGTCTCAGAGGCGATGGCGGCAACGACGGGAGGATCCATCGCGGCGCTATCCAGCTTTCGTTCGTCTTCCAGTCTCAGCCGTAAAGCTAAGTCCGGCACTTGCGTTCCGGTGATTTGCAGAGTCGTCTTTCCGCAACGAAACATTGCCTGCTTTGCCGTTCAGGAATCGTCCGCAGCAGGTGATTTCTACGTTCTCACCTTCTTCTTTCTCGACTACGTGTTGCTTTTTTTTTTTTTTTAAATCTTGTTCGGTAATTAATGGCGGTTGAAAACTAGTGGCTGCTGAAACGAAAAAGGAAGAGGAGCCGGTTGAGGAAACGGAAAAGCCGAAGCGAAAACCGGTCGCCAAAGCGCCTGCCAAACCACTGCCTCAGATGATGGAAGAGGATGTCATTCCTTCATTGAAATCGACTCTACAAGCTCAAGATGATATCACTGAACTCGAACTGTCTTTCAACGATAACAAGGTTAGGTCACTCTTCTATTACACAATCCTTTCGCTCCTTAATTTTTATCTCCCAAGTCTTGCAATCAATTTTTATTGATTGTTTCAGCTGGAGGGTTCGTTTCTGAAGAAGGGTTATCCATATTCCTTCTGGGCGTTTTTCCCCAACGGACTTACCGGTATATCTCACATCTTCATCTGCTCATTGCTTGCATATCTACATGAAGAAGAAAGAAATCTAATGTTATTAATTTGGTGGCAGGTCCAAAAGGATTCTCACTTTCATCATATGGAAATGGAGCCAGCACTGTAGAACCTTTTCTTGTTGACGAGAAAAAAATTACAGAGAAACACATTGTGTTCTGGGTTGAGAAGCGTTTGGCTGCTCAGGGGATCATCCCTGTCTGGAAAGAATAGGCATGTTTCTCAATTTCCATTCAACACATGTAAAATCACCACACACCATATTTTCTCTTCTGTACTGTATCCCTTTGCAGTTGCAGAAACAGAGAATAACAAATTCCCAAATCACAAAGTTGTATGTACTTCCCCACTTCTATGTAATCAATTCAAGACCTCACATACAATCATCAGAATATGGAAAATACTATAATATTTATTTCATTCTCTACTTCCAACTTTTACTCCCACACTTCTCAGTGGCAGGTTTTCCTTGTCACCCTGAAAAAAATAAGTTCTATCTTTATGGAAATTCTGACAACTAGTCAGAATGAAGCAATATAGTACAAGTTTTGTCAGTAGAATTTTTAGAAACTGAAAGAGAAGCATAAATCTCATAAAGAAATAGAGAATAAGACCTGGCTTCAATCCACAACAGTATGAGGTCTGTTGATAAAACCATGGTAGAAATGTACAATCACTCTACAAAATTTGTTGTGAAGAGGCAACAAATGCAATCATTGGTAGAAATACACTGACACTATACAAGCCAAAAATACATAGAAATGAGCAGAAAAAGAATACATTTTATATTAGCTCCCTGCTAAATATGAATGCGGTTCTCCTGAAGATTTATGTATGGAGATTAGAGGGGGGAAAAGAAAACATCTCTCTTACACAAACAAATGCGAACTTTAACAAGAAGCATAAAGAATTGGCAAAAACAAACAAAATAATCATCTGATGCAGATGAAGTGGGCAATCAAATGTGACATAGAAGCACAGGAAGATTGGATATAATACTAGTCTACACCAACCAGTCACTTCAAATGCCGTATAACCCCTCTCTGGCATTGAAACAATTTACAACGGTCGTATATTTTACTTTACCATGCATCTCAGCAGCAGCTACAAATGCTTCACCCCATACCAGCAGCTTGCAAGAAGCAAGATCCAACACCAATGGGCACGAAAAAATTGTGGGCATCATAGCATGAGCATCTCTGGTAACTGTGCACACAACTTCTATAGATAGTAGTCCAAGAGCCATTCAAAAGTAATCAATGAATGTAGATCTAGAAAAGCTCCTCCGAGTTAAATTTGTTCCATGCTTCCTATAAAAATGCACCCAATATAGTAAAGCAGCAAGACAAGGAGAATAATAAAGTATAACATTTTGTTGTTTCAGAGAGGGTCAATCTGCTGTTTAACTAGAAAAATGAAATACACACTCATATGAATCATACCATATTTCCATTGACTAAAAGAATTGATAATAATGATATTTAGGAGAAATTTGATATTGATCACTGAGAAAAAGTACCTTCAGGAGATCAAAGACCTTCTCAGCAATATATTTCTGCTGAAGAGTAGCACCTTTCTGTTGCACCTTATCAGGATGTATACAAAGGGTTGCTTTTCTATATACTTTCTTGACAGATGCACCGGTAATCAAGTCTGTCAAGGAAACAGGGTGCCAACCACATTCAGGCCAAAGAACCTGATCATTCCAACAAGAGTAAATATTACACCCTTTACCAGAAAAAAAGGTAATTAATCCAAACAATTACCCAATAAACCCATCTCAAAAATATAAAACTAGTGAAACAAGGGAAGGTTGCTATTACGCCAGGAGGTTAGTAAAGATAAAAATAAGCCTCATCCAGTTTCCTTGTTCTGTTTTCACTTTTTTTGGTCTTTTGGGGCAAGTGATTATCTCTAATAAGAAATGAGAAAATTTTTAGCCAAACGCACATATTGCAGAGTTGATAGAAGTGCACGCAGATTTCCTTCCTTCCCAGCAGCCCATCGCTTGATTTCAATATCCAAAGTCTCCGCAATCCTCTGAAAGCAGATCATACAAACCATCAGATATGATATTAAAAAAATGATGTTGAGATGTTATTTAGAGTGTATTTGTGTTGTTCAGAAAATGATTGAGTTAATTTGTAAAGATACAAAACTTTCTTTTTTTTTTAAATGTCACATAAGAAATTGTAAGCTATTTCAGATCATGAGGCGAGTAAGGTATAATCTTATTTTTAGATAAAGATTCTAACATCCTAATTATTATTTTTAACAAGCTCAAAATTTTAATAAGTAACATGGAGGCATCTCCATCCCTCTAAAAAAATGATGTGGTGCTCAACAAAATCAACTGGCATAGCTTATAAAAAGTAGTGTGATCTTTTTAAGTTGTATTAGTTGTAAGCTGCTCAAAAAGACACTTACATGTCTTTCTTCCTGATCCCTTTGGACTTGAAGGTCACGTTGATTCTTTTCAGCCAAAGCTTTCGCCTGCACAATCACATATATCAACCATGCAGCCAAAACTACTATAGTACTATATACACAATACTAGGCAAGTATACAGTATACTCAAGGGTATCCTATATAGCAGGTGGTCCAACATGCTAAACCAAACAAGCAAGTGCATTTGAAAACATACCGCACGCTCTTGAGTACGTTGATGACGCTCCAATCTAGCTCTTCTTCTTTCCTCACTCTCTCCATCGACTTCCTGGAACTCCCCAGATGATGAAGCAGCTATTCATCCAAATAAAGTAAACACAAATTCATGAGATGGATTTAATATCTAAGATGTCATGCGTCACAAGGGAAAGCATGATACCTCCAAAAATTGAAGACAGATCATCTACAATATTATTGGCAGATGACACTTTCCTCATGTTATTAGAGGAGACCCCACCAGAAGAAAATGTTGACTTTGTCCCCTCAGAACTTCCCTTATTATGGAATTGTGTATCAAACATTGTTTCCTTGAAAAAAAAAAAGATGAAGAAAAGGAAGATCTCAGAAAATATGCATAATAAAACCACCAGTGTTGCAAAAGGCTTCCTGTACATATCATGGAGTTCAATAGGCCACTCACTGGAGAACTTGTCTTTGGCACACTGCTTGCTCGAGTACTAAAGAAGGATTCAAGATCATTATCATTCCTTTGCTGACTCATCTTAGCAGCAGCAGCAGCAGCTCTCTCTCGAGCCTCTGCAGCAGCTCTCTCTCGAGCCTCTGCAGCAGCCCTTTCCACAGCAGCTCGTTCTGCTCGACGGCGTGCCTCAGCCTCAGTCTTTGCTTTTTCTCTTGCTTCTCTCTCTCTTGTTTCCGCATTTTGCCTTTCCCTTGCAGCTGCTGCAGCTCTTTCACGAGCTTCTGCTTGTGCTCTCTGAACTGCAGCCCTTTCAGCCCGTTCTCGAGCTTCAGCAGATGCCTTCTCAACAGCAGCTCTTTCAGCTTTCATTCGTGCTTCAGCTGCTGCTTTTTCGCGTGCTTCAACTGCTGCCCTCTCACGCGCTTCCTTTGTAGCCCTTGCTACAGCTTGCCTAGCCCTATCCCTTTCAGCCTCCCTCTCTCTTTCAAGCCTCACTCTCTCCCTCTCTTTTTCAAGTCTCCTTTGTTCTCTCTCTTCCTCTTCCTTTTCACGCTGACGGTGTTCACGCTCTAATCTCTCTTGGTTTTCCCTATGTTCTCTCTCATGCATGACCTGTTCATCCTTTTCCATCTGCACAGCTTCCTTACTTCTAGCAGCCTTCACATTTTCTCTTTCCCGGACTTCCTTAGCATGTCTAAATTTAGCCTCAGCCATATCAACAGCCTCTTTCATTGCAGCAGCAGCAGTGTTTGCATTCATTTCTTCACCAGAAAGAACATCGACATTTCCATCAACACTGTTTCGAGTCCTCCCCATGGCAAATTCCTCAAATTCATCCAGATGTGATACTGGAGGGCTCTTAGCAGTGGAGAAAGCAGGTTTAGTACTTTGAGAGTATTGACTGTAACTTGGGGATGAAGAATATTCATCAGCTCTTCTTCTTCCGTGTGAAGTGAAGAAACCAGCCTCTGGCTTTGAGGTCCACCTTGGAATTGGAGGTGGGGGCCGTGATGGAGGTGGAGCACTAGTAGGTTGTGTGCAAAGAGGAACCTCTGATACAGTAAGCCAAATATCTTCTGAAGGTTGCTCTGGTTCCTCAGATCTGGGAGATGAATCCACCTGGGAGTTTGTCTCAGTATGATTTGCACTTTCATTTGGAGGAGAAGCAGATTGACTAAAGGACTTATGAGTCTCTGCAGAGGGCATGTCGAACAGAGGAGGCTCCTGAGAGTCATTCCCTGGAATCTCAGAATATCTGAAAGAAGATTTTCCACTATTTACATTAGACTCATCCATCAGTGGTCCATCTCTTGGTGGCACAGATTTACCAAAGCCATTGAGTGGATCCAAGCCATCAAATACATTCCCACCAATAGATGAAGAATCAGCCTTAGCACTTCCAGATTTACCAAGCTTAGTAATTTCTTCAAGTGGATCAGAAAATACCCCAGGAGAAGATGTTGGGGCTGAAGATGTTCCTAAAACAACAAAAGGGTCATCCATAACACTTGATGTCTGACTGGAACTACCAGGTGGTTTGGAAGGTTGTTTATTTGACCCTGTAAATGGCCTGTGAAAGAAGAACAGTCAACTGTTCTTTAGCTTATTCAATTGAAACTATAGGGATAATTAAAACTTTGAAATGATTGCTATTTCATCAATTTAATGTATGACACTGAAAAAATATGTCAAGAAAAAGCTATTCAAGCTTTCCACTATGGCCTCACTTGATCTAGTTAATTTTGAAACCATGACCTGAGGTTTTTATGTGTAATTTCACTTACCTTCACAACAAATTTGAGTTTTGGCCAACTTTTCAAAAGCTTTAGAAAGTACAAAAAGGTACTCTTTACAAGAACTTCTAAACACAAAACGCATAGTTCATTGAAGGGATCACAATAGTGAAGATGGACTTATCAAAGAAATCCCTTTTTCTTTTCCTCTGAAAATCAAACCAACATCCTACGTTGATGAAGACAACATACCCTATACCTTGCCACCTGCAGATATAACAGTTCATTTTCACCAATGTCACACCACTCAATGCTCCAGGCTCCAGCATATATCCACATAGGAGGTTAATTATTCATATGGACATGACTGTAACTTCACTATCACTTGATCTAAATACAGGTTTCACTTCACATTCACCACCACCAATCACCCAAGAGGGCAGTAAGCAAACTACTATATATCATCAACAATACTATTTATAATCTTTACGCAGTATAATCTAATTCAACTTAGGATTAGATCACATGCTACATTGACACGACCACTGCTTGGTGAAAGTATAACTAGACATAAATAACCAGAAATGTTACACCATTGGAGAAAGATATTTAATGTACCTGTTAGTACTGGCTGCACTACTGCTGCCAAAACCAGCTAGCAGATCATCAAACGCTCTCGAGCTTGAGTTCTTGCTGCTCTGGGGTTCTGCCACCTTCTCATTCCTCCCCAAATTCCCAAACAGATCATCAAACTGGTTACTACTGTGATTCTTTCTAGGCGGAGAAGTCATTGAGGCAAACACATCACCATCAAATCGGGCCGTTGACGAAACCGATTTGCTCTTCAGTCCTGGCAGTCCATCAAAAATATCCTCGTCGTAGACCGGCTTATCATACACGGGTACAGAAGACGTCTTGCTGCTGCTATTGTCGTAATTGTTCTTCGAATCATTTCCGGGCTTGAAAATTGAATCGTAATCCAAATCGTTCATCGCAGAATAGTTTTTATTGCTATTGCTACTGGAACTCGTGTATTTAGGCGGACCACCGAAAACGTCGCTGAACAACGCCCCATCACGATCGTCGAACAACGGCGAGGAGGAGGAAGCTGGCCGGCGATCACCGGCGCCGGATCTCATGGGAGCCGATTTTCCACCAGGTCGCAGCCCAAAGTCTCGGGCCAACACATCCAGGTCGTCCATTGCGGAGACAGGTAGCTGCGCACGGTTCGAGCTAAGCTATGGCAGATCTGAGAGCCGATAATTGCCCTCAGAAGTAGGGCAATGGCCGCCGGTATGGATCTGAAATTCCAACCGACGTCAAGGCCAAAACTGACCAATTCGATTGTTCTGAGTAGATAATTTTAGGTTTCCTAATTACCACAGAAATTATATAGATACGAACCGAATCTATATCTATATTTGGTAGTAAGATAGAAGAGGTTAAATGTTTGATTAGGGTTTGAAGTATGAAGATGAGAGGGGTGATGAGGTTTCTTCTCTCTTCTTTCGTACTTCGACCTCCGTCGTCTTGTTCTCTCTGCTGCCAGTCGACGTCTCTCTTATTTTTCACATTTTTACATTTTTACATTTATTATTATTATTTGATTTGAAATTTTCATCGACGGCTCTTCTTTCCAAAAATCAATTTTAGCCTTCACATTCTCTGTATATTTTATCTTGGCATTGAATTTTATCCAATTCATTCTTTACGCGGTAAGGACAGATATATGGTCCTTTCGGCGTAACGGCGACGGACGTTTGGTCAGGTAAGACGTTTCAATTCTATGTTTTATTTCTTCTCTCAAATACTGAATCAGTGAGTTAAGCTTTTGTGAATAATTCTATGTTTTCTTTATTTCAGTGACATGGACATATTAGAGAAATTTTGTGTAGTGAAACTCGTAACTTTTAATACGATAATGTGTTTTATTTACTTGACTATTAATAGATTTTGGAGCATTCATGTGGTATTTGAAAATTATATCTCGTTAGAAGGGACAATGACCTCATGCTAACCATTCTCACTTTTACTAGTCATACTCACAAAACAATCAAGTTAACTTGGATCAATCTGCTCAAACAATCAATACTTATTTAATCGGTTAAGTTAATTGATTTTTTAGGTTAAAATCTTATTGTTTTAACTCTACAACCTTTAACTATTACATTTCTTGGATAAATTCAACTAATATTTTTAGTATTTAAAATATAACATTATAACCGTTTAATATTAACAAACTAATACATTTATATTACTAAAATATAAATTTAAAGTATCATTTGATAAATCCAAACTTCTAATTTCAAATTCTAGCTAAAAAACATAACGTAGCAGGTGACTCGAACTCTAAATCTCCACATTCAAGTTTAGAAATCTAAACACAAAACATAAAAGTAAAGTTCAAACAATGTCGATCCACTCGGTGTCAAGAGGCAAATTATGATGTGCATCCGTATGCACCGTGCACGGTGCATACGGATGCAAAAACGACGTCGTTTTGCATCAAAATACGCATCCTACTTTTAAAAAAATCAATTTCGATTTCCGGCAACAACATATGTTATTCATTTTTAGTTCATACATTCTGGATTTTTAGTTATAAAATTCTGAAGGTATAGTTATGCAATTCTGGATGTATAGTTATGCAATTCTGAATGTGTAATTATGAAGTTATGGAGGTGTAGTTATGCAATAATTCTGGATTTATAGTTATAAAGTTATGGATGTGTAGTTATGCAATTCTGGATGTATAGTTATGAAATTATGGATGTGAAGTTATGCAATTCTGGATTTATAGTTATAAAATTATGGATGTGTAGTTATGTAATTCTGGATGTATAGTTATTAAATTATGGATGTGTAGTTATATAATTTTGATTTTTTTTTTTAAGTTAGACGTCAAAACGACGTCGTTTTTGCATCCGTATACACCATGCATGGTGCATACGGATGCACAGTGTAACGATCCGTGTCAAGATTGCTCGTTCGAGCCATCAAACATATTAGATCAATATAAATTTTTATTGAGTTACAAATATTTCAACTCTTGAGTCACTAATATTTTTATCGTGTCGCGCAGTCCGTGGGTTTCAAGTTAAATTTACATCCCTATTGATTTTTGCATCTCGTGAAATGAGATATGGAATACTATTTTAACTGTCGATTTCACTACCATTATTATTTTTTTTTTTTAAATTTCAATGAAACAACTAAAAGCACAATTAAATAATTTTATCAATAATCTACCTTTCTAACTATCATTTAATATCACCGTTGCTATTATGTTTTCAATATTATCCATTTTAAATTTTTATTTGATACAACCATTTTCAATTTGAAAATACAAAATTACAATTTCATAACAGCTAAAGAGGAGATAATAGTTCAAAACCCCCAATGCAACTAAAATCAAACAGTCCTAAAGTAATGTTCATTGGATTGAGATAAGTTTCAGGGAGTATTTGGATTTTGTCCTTCAAGTTCAAGTTTTCAAGCCTAAGTTTGTGTTGAGTATATGGCATCCACTTTCTCTGTGTACCAGTAAAAACATTACTCTTGTAGCTCAATAATCCATTGGACAGTAAATTTCATAGATTTGTTTGAATTTTGATGAACAAGATTGTCCCATATATTATCTCTTCATATTACTCCACCTCGCCCATTAAATACATTAGTTAAACTATATATGGACTCAATAGACCCATCATCATACCCATGAGAAGATAAAACAAGTTAGTGGTCCTATTTGATAAATGGCCGTTAGCTGTTAGCTGATTGAGTTACTAAAGGGTATAACTAGTTGATAACATTAGCTTATTGTAGAAAAGTATTTGATAAATTAGCTTTTAACTGATAGCTATTTGGTATAATTTCTTTTATCAAAATGCTAATTGAAAAAGTTGTTTTGACTCTTTGAGCAACTTTTTGTATTTTAGCATTTTGGAATTACAAAAAACTAATTAACAAACACTTATATTGATTTTTTTAACTAAGTCAAACAACTAATAGTGGTCAAATAAGCCAAAATTAGCTTATAGACTAACTATTTTACCAAGCAAGACCAATATAACTTTGAGACTTAAAGTAACACTAGTAATTGTCCCGTGCGATGCACGAATAAAAATTATACAATATTAAGTTAAGTTATTTTAATTAGATATATAAATATATCTCACAGTAGTAGACAAAGTAAGGCATGACAAAAGTTAAGAAACATTGAAATAAAATTACAAATTATTAAATACTTGGTGGTACAACTAAATGAATACACAAAAAAAAAAAAAACATTTAAATAAACTATTTAACACTTGAAAAGTAGATAAAAGACAAATTATCCAAAGAAATGTCCAATATCCAGCAACATTTGTTTTTCAGCACACAGAGCATATTTGAGTTATGAAAGGTGAAGGTTCCACCAAGCACACTTGTTATCCAAAAAAGTCCTCAAGAAATCTTACGAATAAGCTCTTTCTCATTACATGGTGTGTTACCTTTCAAACTTGTGAAGGGCCTTAGCTGCTACATACACCATGGAAACTTTTCTAAAGTTAATTCTTTCAATACTATTTCATAGTTGAATTTTAACATATGTGGGTGCAAGGCTGCAAGTTAGTTTTGTAGGTATAAAAGTTTGTAATGCCAGAGAAATTTGACATCATAAACCTTTTGATCTAAAAAACTGTTTATGAAATTTGCTAAATGCAGTTTTGGTAAATGAGCGTGTATAACAGTGCCCTGTTACCAAAAAAAATATAGCATTGGTTATTATTTTCATATTTTGAGTATTTTGGATTTTGTTTTTTATTCAAAATAATGTATAAGGATATGTACCTCTTCATCGTGGAAGACAACTTCTTTGTTTAGACAATGGAAGACAATTTCTCACTACTACGCACATACCACCCTTTGACAGGGCACATACCAAAAACGCACATACCATGCTGGATAACATCAGTATTTTTCCCAAGGAGAAGTACTCACCGGGATTTTGTTACCACCAAGACACGAAAATGACTTGTACATGTTAAAACAGTTTAGATACTTATGGTATTATTGTTCTGTGCAGTTTTCTAAATTAATGCCATCAGACACTATATGCATTTGTATGTAAGTATTTCATATTTTAGAACTGCTTTAATAACTTTCACAGTATACATAGCTTAGCTTAATACGATATATATCTATTTTTGCAGGTAATAAAGCATACCATAAAATGAAATCAAACAATGCCTAGGATATTCACATCTGTCAAAGGTATGTTATACCTTTATAGTTGGTAAATACCTGAATCTGCAAAGAAATTAAACAGCATACAGCAATTATTTTTTTGAGCTTTTGAACTTGAAGTTGTTGTATTTAATTACTCCTGTTTAGCTTGTCTTAATTTTTTATTTTTTTTTGAATGTTGAATCTTGCATCTGTGTTGCAAAAACAATACTAACTAAACTATTTCTGCAAATGATGATCTTACAATCTGATTACACAGTTTTGTTGCTTACAATTAGGACTTTATGCTTATACAGATAATAAGTAAATAAATAACCAACAAATAAAGTATTATTTGACCAATAAGAGAATATTAAATTCTAAAAATAACTTTTTAAATTCATATGATCAATACATCACAATCCCATACTAACACTCTACTGTGGAGAAAAACTACAACCTCATAACAAAGCTTAAAAATCATGGTGCAAAAGTGTTGCACCATGATCACAATTATCTTCCACTACAACTACCTGCTAGTAATAGCAGGTGTGACTCAAAAAAAGAGGATCATACAAATGTATTGATAGCAATTGGACTTGCTGAATTATGTATGCCTTTTCCATGATTCTTCTCATTTGTTTATTTCCACTCTTCCTAGTTTTTGTATTCGTAAAAACATAGAGAAAATATTACGAAAAAATATATATATATATATATAAAACATACCTCTTGATCTTCTACTTCTTTACATTGGCTTCACTCCCTCTTCTTTTCAGGATTTATGTATGCAGACTGCAATGCGGACCCATATTGTTGTTCTTGTATTCATTGAAGAGATGTTACCGCGAGAACATTAAAACTGTAGTGTGTATTTTGCAGGTATTTCTGTGTTTTTAGAAGCAATCTGATGTTGAAGTGTTTGTCTCTTATACAAAGAGATGTATTTATAAGTAGGTTTAGGAAGTGCTTGTATACCAATCGTCAATTTGTAGATTTATATTACATTGTTAAACCAATCGTTAATATTGGAAAGGCCAAGCAACTAATTAAACATCACCATATTTAATAGATTTAATAGCCGATCATTAATTATTTCGGCTATGTAAACATTCTTAGAACTTTGGGATTCTCCTTCAAAACTGGACGGCAGAATTAATATTTTTAGGAGCCCAACGATATAAAAAATCTGATGTACGCATTTGATATCTATGATCTAAACACACCATTAGTTTAGGTGAGAATTTATTTGGCTTTAGCATTTACTATTTCTTATGGCTATTTTATAATAGAGATATACACTTTTTAGTACAAAAAACTAATATAAGGTCAAACCTCTAATATCTGTTACATGTATTAAACCATGTATTGTCGTTGAATTGGAAGCAAGTTTTAATTGAAACTTTTTATTAACTAGACGTCCTAGGGTACAGTTCAAATTTACATAACATTAAGTTTAACGCCAAGTAGCTAGCTTGTAGCTCAATGACATCTATGTGGCTATTCTAAGTCAAAGATCACAGACACGAACCACAGTAGAAATAGTTGATTTGGCTAGTAAATACGGAGTAGTAAACATGACAAAAAGAAATTTGTGTCCAACAACTCATATTGGTGTTTTAATTTATACATGGTCAAAGTATTTGGGTCGAGGCAACTGTATTGGTGATCAGACGTTCCCGAGTTTAGGCGTGTGTTGTGAAATAGTCTAAAAGTCCCTCTCCCTAGTAATAAATGTGCCTTATATAGATGTCTGGAGGGGACACATACAGAGTGCCTCGCATGCACACCACATATTCTGCATGCATCGGTCTCAAATAATGACAATCTTAAAGGGTGGCTGACTATCACATTCTCAGGATATAATTGGGGTGATTGTGGTCAATTCAAACTTACTTCTTAGATAATAAAGGTCTTTACTCAGGATAATCTTTCCGACGGTCGGTTCTTAAGGCCTAAGCACGAATTGTAACTATTAAATTACCTGTGACTATTCGGCTATTCGTGTACTTGTAAATTTTAAAGGTATTTTTATTAGGAATAGTGATTTTTTTTTTATTTTCCTAGTATTTTCGACGTATTTAGTCTGTTATCTTTAATTTTACTTAATAGTAGAATGAGTTTTCATTCATCATTAGGGTTGGTTTCCTATTCCTTTGCAGTTTATGTTTACTATTTCTATGTTTTTTTGGCGTTCTCTTCATCTGAAACACTATACTACGCCTTTCGCCGGAAATGGGCCACCTTAGGACGTTGAATTTCATGTTAATGCCGGCACCTAAAGTAGGATTTGGAGGGTAAAAGTGTTGCAGCCATGAATTTATGATTGGGGGAGACAGAGTCACTGGTTTATTCCTTTTGTGAGTTGCTCTCTCTTGTGTGGTTATCTTTTAATAGTACACTGTAATTTTTTTTTTTTCCATTTCAGAGACGAATGAATGCATTTGCTGAAAATAAAGCTCAACAAAGAGGAAAAGTGAAAGGTAAAGTGGACTGATTGAAAGATGAAGTCACCTTTTGACAGGTAAAATAATTGATTAATTGTCCCGAGAGAATGCCTATACACTGCTCTTAATACTCCGTGATGAAGTTATAACTTTTACAGTTTTACTAACCTGAAAATTCAAGTATACAGGTTTATTCTTGATCACTCTTTTTACAGAGGCTTAATATCTAGGCATGGAGGATCCGCCATCAACCATCTCATTAGCAACCTAACCACAAGGTATCACATCGGCTTTGTAAATGCTTTTCAACATGTTGCTCCCAACTCTTCAAATATAAATAGAATTATCCAGTACCTTATTAGGGATTTCAATTTCATTTATCTAACAATTTTTTGACTAGAACAGAATTCGTAGCTCGAGGATATTCACATCAAGCATTGCTAGGAATAAGGGAAGGTTGAGAAGGATTGCAGTGAGCAGGTAAATTTTTTGGTTTCTTTCTCCCTTTCTAAGTTTTTATTTTTTCTGTGTTTGTTTTGTTTTGGACTGGGAAGAAAGGGGAGGGGAATACATATGATTGTGTATTTGTATATGATGGTATGCTTTACAAATTACATATACATGTTTTCCTTGTCCATTGCATTTTTGTTTGAATGTGTTCTTGAATGTCTTGTAGTTCTTTTCGTTTCGTTATATTTGTGTGTTTTTTATTTTTTTCCATGCATTAATTTCCTCCTTTTACTGTTTATTTATGTATCTTTTTGTTTGAATTGTGTAGTTATATAGATCGCTTTATAATTTTGTGTAGTTTTGTGTTATTTTTGCTTTATTATATTTGTTCATTGCATTTTGTTTTGAATGTGTTCCTAAATCCTGAGTGTTTTGTAGTTCTTTTCGCTTCGTTATATTTTTGCATTTTTTTACCGTTCACTTTGTTCGTTAGTGTTCTTTTGACATATTTTTAGTTTGAATTGTGTATTTTCTATATGATCATTTTATAATTTTAGTACTTATGTATACTATGAGGAGTGTTTATGATGTATTTGGTTGTTTTTCATAATCTATAGCATTTTTTAAGTGTTTTTGTATAGTTTTCCTAAATCCTGAGTGTTTTGTAGTTCTTTTCGCTTCGTTATATTTTTGTGTTCCTGAATGTTTTGGAGTTCTTTTCGTTTTGTTATATTTGTGTATTTTTTGTTTTTTTTCCATGCAGTAATTTTCACCTTTTACTATTTATTTTGTTTTTGTTAGCTTTCTTTTAGCGTATTTTTTGTTTGAATTGTGTAGTTCTATAGATATCATTTTATAATTTTGTGTAGTTTTGGGTTATTTTTGTTTTGTTATATTTGTCTATTGCGTTTTATGTTTTGTTATATTTTTGTATGTTTTTTTTTTATTTGTCCATATGTATAAATTTTCTCTTTCTACTGTTCATTTTGTTCGTTAGCATATTTTTAGTTTGAACATTCATTTGTTTACTAACAAGTATTTATGATGTATTTAGTTGTTTCTCTATTTATAGCATTTTTCAAGTGTTCTTGTGTAGTTTTTGGTTCTTTCTCTTTATGTTTTTACTGTATTTGCTTTGTTATATTTGTGACTTTTGTTTTTTGTCCATTACATTTTTCTTTGAATGTGTTCTTGAATATTTTGAAATTCTTTTCGTTTTGTTATATTTGTTTTTTTTTTCATGCATTAATTTCTCCCTTTTATTCACTGTTCATTTTGTTTTTGTCAAGACATATTTATTTTAAGTGTTCTTGTGTAGTTTTGGATGATATTTTTGCTTCGTTATGTTTGTTCATAACATTTTGCTTTGAAGTTCCTGAATGTTTTGGATTTCTTTCTGCTGTTTGTGTATTTTTTGTTTTTTTTTCCCATGTATTAATTTTCTTTTTACCCCGTTCATATTTTGTTGTTAGCGTTCTTTTAGCGTATTTTTAGTTTGATTTGCGTATTTCTAAAGATAATTTTATGAGTATTTTTTACGTATTCAGTATTTTTTTTTAATTTATAGCATTTTTCAAGTGTTATGTATTTCTGAATGTGTTTCGGAATGTCTTGAGTTCGTTATATTTTTGATTTTTTTTTCGTGCATAAATTTCCTCTTTTTATTGTTCATTTTGTTTATTTGCGTAGTTGGTTCTTTCTCTTTATGTTTTTCCTGCATTTTTGTGCTATTTTTGCCTTGTTATATTTATCTATTGCGTTTTTTTTTAATGTGTTTCTGAATTGTCTTGGATTTATTTTGTTTTGTTATATTTGTGAGTTTTTTGTTTTTTGTTATGACGTATGTATTTATAGCATTTTTCCTTCTTGTATAGTTCCTTGTGTTCATTTGGGTGATATTTTTGCTTTAAATGTGTTCCAGAATGTCTTGAAGTTCTTATTGTTTTTTTTTTCATGCATTAGTTTTCCTTTCTGTATAGTTCCTTGCATATATTTGTGCCTTTTGTTACACACTTTTCAATGTGTTTATTTTCTCGCTTGATTATATTTGTGCTTTTGATTCTATTCGTTCTGTTTTTCTTTGATGAATGTGTTTTTATTATTTTTGACATTACTAATAGTTTGTTTTTCTTAATTTTTTCTTTGAAAGTGTTCTTGGATTATTTGGAGTTATCTTTTCGTTTTGTTTTAGCGCATGGGAAAACACACAAACAATTTTCTCTTTTTACCGGTTTAGCGTTCGTTTGCATATTTTTTATTATTTTTGACATTGCTAGTTGTTTTCCTTAATTTAGCATTTTTCAAGTGTTATATTTTGTGTGTTGTGTTTTTCTTTACATGTGTTTTTAATGTTGTCTATTTTTTATTCTTAATTTAGCATTTTTCAAGTGTATATTTGTCTGTTGCGTTTTTCTTTTTTTACTTAATTTAGCATTTTTCAAGTGTTATATTTTGTGTGTTGTGTTTTTCTTTACATGTGTTTTTGGTTGTCTATTTTTTATTATTAATTTAACATTTTTCAGGTGTATATTTGTCTGTTGCGTTTTTAGACATGTGTTTCTGATGTTGTCTATTTTTATTTTGACTTTTCGTCTCGTTTATTTTCTAAAGTTTTTCATGCATTCATGGGTTATTCATGCTTCATTATATTTGTGCTCTTTTCGTTTTGTTTTGTTTGTGTTTTTTTTCCCTGCACTAATTGCACTTATTTTCCCTTTTTATCGATTTATTGTTTTACCGTTCGTCTGTATATTTTTTATTTTTTTTTTTACATTGATTTCAATGAGTATTTTTGAAATATTTTGTTTTTCTAATGTTTTTCATGCATTTTATGGGTTATTCTCGCTTCATTATATTTGTGCTTTTGATTTTGTTCGTTCTGTTTTTCTTTGTGTTCCTGGATAATTTGGAGTTCTTTTCGTTTTGTCATTTTTACCCGGTTTATTGTTTTTGTTAGCGTTCTTTTTGCATATATTTTATTATTTTTGACATTTTTGCTAGTTTGTTTTTCTTAATTTTTTTCTTTGAATGTGTTCTTGGATGATTTGGAGTTTTTTCGTTTTGTTTTGTTCCTGTTTTTCTTTGAATGTGTTCTTCGATGATTTGGAGTTCTTTTTGTTTTGTTTTGTTTGTATGTTTTTTCCCGTGCACTCATTTTCTTTTTGTAAGTTCATTGTTTTTTGTTAGCGTTCTTTTTGCATATTTTTTATTATTTTTGACAATTTTTTCTTTGAATGTGTTGTGTTTGTGTGTTCTTTTCCCATGCAAATTTTCCCTTTTTACCGGTTTATTGTTTTTGCGTTCTTTTTGCATTTTTTTTTATTATAATTGACATTGCGCCCGTTTTCCTTAATTTAGCATTTTTCAAGTGGGGCGTTTTTCTTTCGATGTTATCTATTTTTTATTCTTAATTAGCATTTGTTTTGTTAAGGAGTATTTTTGAAATATTTTGTTCGTTCCGTTTTTCTTTGTGTTCTTGGATGATTTGGAGTTCTTTTCGTTTTGTTTGTTTGCGTGTTTTTCTCCCATGCATTTTCCCTTTAGCATATGTTTTATTATTTTGACTTCGCTAGCTGTTTTCCCCTAAAAGTGAAATTTTTTGTCTGTTACGTATTACATGTGTTTTCATTGTTTATTTTTTATGTTGCGTTTTTCTTTACATGTTTTCGATGTTGTGTGTCGTTTGGCATAATTTTAGTTTGAATTGAGCATTTTGAAATAATTCTTGTGCCCCCTCTTTATTTTTGTGTAGTTTTTTTGTCTATTGTGTGTGTTTTATTTTTAAGGAAATTGACGGTGGACGATTGCTGCAAGGCAGGTTGTAGGGGCTGCTGATTGGTAACTGGTGTTCGAATGCGACTGGAGGAAACTTATAGAAACCATTCGGCGGGCACAGGACAACCAAGCTAGCGAGGGAAACATTATTGAAAGATGCCGCAAGGAGGCAGCGAGGAAACCAGAGGTGGAATTCGTGCATGCTCAAGGAAGGCAACACGGCTGCGAGGGCAAACTGGTGACGAAGGCGCTTTCCCACTCGATCGGATAACATGACCAAACTAGGCATGGATCTTTGAACTTTGGGGTTCTCCCCTCCTAAATACAATGAACACTTTCACTTCATTAATTAAAAGTATATAATAACCCCACTCGAACTCCACTACTCATGTAAATTTATTAAAAAAATAGATATGAAGAAGCTAGCTTTCATGGTGTACTTTCAGACCCTAGCTTTCACGAGACTTTTTATATATAATATGTGATTTCATGTGATTTTTTGTTCTTACGAACCTCATCTGCTGTTTGGCTCTTGCCTCCTCTTACGAAATGCATCTCTGTTCTCAACTACTGCTGCAAGGTTCTGCAGCAAAGAGCTCAATTTTGGTCCCTTGCCATGAGAACATCAGGGTCAACACCAACAGATCCTTGTGCCCTATACCAGCAGCAGCAGCAACACCAACTCACCTACTTCATCACGACTCTTCATTAAAAGCAGTTTGGCTCTTCTTTCTACAGAAACTGCTTGAGCAGCCCTAGTCTGGGGCTACCCCAACTCCCATGGCAACATCAGGACGATAAACTTTCATCTCACCATCTATAATCCACGATCAAGAACACGTGCAAGCAACTCATCAGTAGCAGCATTTGAAGGAGCACAGACAAGCATCCTAGGTTTTGGGCAAAGTTTAGGGAGAGTGCGAAATATATTTTGATCCATGCTTAGGAGGACTTCATCAATAGATCCAGAGGCAACATTATCCAAGTTACTCTCATTATTCTGCTTATAGCTTTCAGGTGCCAATTTCTTCAGAAGTGCAGTATAGTAGTGCTGATACTGAACAAGATGTATATCACATTTAGCCTTCCCCAGACAGCTGATACCTTCCCCAGACAGTATGTGTCTTACCTGTACCAGGGGGGCCTTGTACCAGGGTGTGAAAGGCCATGGTCTTGCCTCTTTGCAATCCCATTAGTCCCAGCAGCTGTATGCGTTGCAGCCCACTGGATTGCTGCTAACTGGGGGGTATTGAAAGTCCTGTGCAAGTACTCAACAAAGTTTGGTGTGAAGCAGTCAGGCATTGCAGGTGTCTGCTCCTCATATTTGGGGAAATGCTCAGAACTAGGTTGGAGAATAGCATTTTGCATCTAACATAGAGAATAAACAACATTGTTACTTCATCAGAAAAAGGGCAATTACTAAAACAAAAACTTCATAATCATAAAACATACTTTAGTTAGTACCTGTGAATTAAGCCGGCGGAATGCATGCAGAGCACATACTCTCTTTGGGTGGTTGCAAGAGAGCCCAGCACAGTCAGAAACCAGGTGCCCCTTGGTTGTAATTTCCTCAGAATATTGTAATCATCAATCTTGCTGAAACAATAACAAGTATCTTTTTCTCAATGGTTTGCCCTGAAAATATGTATTTGCTTAGTGCAGAACACTGACCTGTTGTAATTTCCTCAGAATATTGTCATCATCAATCTTGCTGAAACAATAACAAGTACTCCGTATCTTTTTCTCAATGGTTTGCCCTGAAAATATGTATTTGCTTAGTGCAGAACACTGACCTGTTGTCATAAGAATCCCCAACATAGAAGTGGAGGATTGCCCCAGGAGGGTCCCTTTTATCAATAGGTATATGCCGCCTTACTGTCACAGCCACACGACCATTTATCTTCGCAATCTGACTGCTTTATAAAATCCGTATCATAGTTAGCTAAAAGAATTTGATATGCCATCTCAAAACTCCAACAAGCTATATATAAACCTGATCCAGGTCGAGGAGTGGAAAGAACTGCAACATCTCCCTCTTTGAATGTCCATTTGTACTCACTTTCTGGAAGAAGTATCACATCATACCATCCTGCAAATAAGAGGGGTTGAGGAAAAAGCTAACCAAACAAAAAGAATATAACAACAATGAAGAATGGCTATAGTTACACCAACTCCTCATTACCTAAATTGAGATGATGTGGAAGACTTGGAGGAAATTACAAATAATCATACAGAAATGAATAATCTATTTTTCATATTTCCGCAAGTCTTCAGATTGCCTCACATAAGTTTTTGAGATTGAGCTAAACCATTTATAAATATTCAACAAAGAAAGCTTATTTAATCATACATCATGACTGTACTGACTTTACACCTAGGAATCAAATATTGCCATGTAGATAGAATGTGCTGACACGTGAATATAAGAAAATTATCACATCAAAATTAAAGCATAAATCTGTATTTCCATAACTTTTTTCCCTGATGAGATTGTTGTCTGAATTTTAAAATATTTGAAATTAAGCTCTTGGAAATATTTGTCCTTTTCAGCTATTCCTTTGGGTTAAATAATAACCTAATTTTGAATGCATTTGCAAAGTAACAGTATAATAAACATGTATACTACCACTATCTAATTGTTGAACACTACAAGAACATGAGTAAATCTTATAAAATAACATACGTAAAACTACCTCTTTCACGTCTTTCAACATTTTTTACATAAACTTCGACGTGTGATCCTGATTCAGTTACCTCCTCCAAAGTACTGCTCAGTTGGGCACGACATTCCTCAAAAAGCAGAGGTTCAAACACTCTAACATACTCTTCCACAGAGTCAAAGCTACCAGGAACACACTGTAGCTCTGTTTTATCTGAAATGCAAAAGAATATAATAAGTGCTAATCCACACAGAAGAGGCAAAATAGTGGTGTAATGTGAAATATCAATCTAGAGCATAAGTCACAGACATATACAGAAAGAAGTGAGGGCACATATAACACTCCTGAAAAGAATGAGAGAACTTATGAGAGAACTTGTTGATGCTTATAAAGGTGCTAGCAATAAAGCAACTTCAAAAAAATATAAAAATGAGAAGAATTTCAGATATCACAACAAAACAAAACATCACATGCATAAGAAAAACAAAAGTGGTAACTTTCCCACGTTTATCAACCCAAAAAAGGTCTATGGATAAACAGAGCTAATAAAGAATGCACACTATGAAAATCTTTATGACTATAATTATTTTATATGGTCCCTGCAAACAAACTAATAATTATTGAATTAATTTTCTAGGAGACAATCTGTCATCCCACAAGCTTTCCGGACAGTAGAGATGCCCACCAGATGAAGCTGTAGGATCCCCTCCTTAATGTGTGGGCCTGAGTAATAGAAAGATTACCACTCACTTAATAAACTATTACAGCAAATGCTCTTTTCACCAAAATATCACATTGTGGGGTGCAGGTTGCAATCCATGATCTAAAAATAAAAATAAAAATAAAAAAATCACCCGGAAAGAAAATATCAATTCAAAACTTATCTCCTCAGCTATTAGCATTGCAAGAGAGAACAAACAATTATCACAAAAAACTATTGGAAAATTTGCCAATATTATCAGGAACCAGAAAAATGTTTCAGCCAGCAGTTAAGTGCCTCTTAAATGAAGATAGTTGAAACAGAAATACGAATGAATCATCAAGCAGCAGGACTTAACGAAGCATGGTTACACCAAATAATCTTATCCATAACGGTTTTTATTTTCAAGTAAATCTTTCAGGTAAAGCAGCAAAAAAAAAAAAAAACAAAAAAAAAAAGGTAACATCATGTTTATTTTTGCTCCTTCTATAAAAGACTGGTTCTCACCTCAAACTCAAAACAAAAAACTACAATACCACATATAGTTTGATCATGGTTATATTTTCATCTCACAATATTGAATATTCTATATTTAGAGTTGAGGTTAAAATTGGTTAAAATGAATTTACACAGCCAAAATCAATAGCACAACAAGTAAAACTAAAGCTTTAAAAAACATGATTATTTATTGGAAAAAGAATTAGATACCTGACTGATGCCATAACTTCTCATTCGTCACCTCACGCAGAAGACGCTCAACTGATGTATCATGGTATTGGGCAGTTACAACCGGTTGCTTCTTTGAAGGAAGCTTTTTTGCTCCGAATTTTGGATCCATTGAGTTTTGGCCAATCAAGGCAGGCTTCCTAATAGGAGGCTGTGAACTCTTAGCTTGCATTTGCCTCTGATCTGAAGGTTGATAGCAAAGGTAGCTTTTGCAACAGTCGACAGGCACCGTGCCTGGTCTGCTCAAGGAATCCAATGCGAAATTGGGCTACTGCAACAAAATCTAGGACTTGCTTCTTTGCTGAATAGAGCAAATGAGCTTCTGTCCTTTTGCAACATCTTTAGGCAGTGGCTTGCCATTCGCACCGGTTGATGCTGTAACTGAAACAACCATAATAATTATTATTATTATTTTTAAAAAGGGGAAATCCATGGGAAAATAGGGGTACTGTGTTCTCTAGTCGGTACAATGTTTGATAATTGAAATTGAAATCCCAAATAAGCTAGTGGAGCTATACCGTAAAAGTAGCAACATTTTGAAAAGCATTGACGAAACCAATGTGGTGGTGCCTTGGGGCTGGGTGCTAGAGAGTTAAACAAAACCAAATACACAACACTAGTTTTAAATAAAAATGAACCCTTAAAAAATGATAAAAATAAGGAAAAACAACACTAGCACAAAAATAACAAAGCGCAAAAACCCAAGAAAGAGGAAAAAATAAAAATTATTTTTAAAAAGATTTTTCTAAATAAAATCTGGAGCGATCAATTGTTGACCAGATGAAAACTAAAAATTAAAATAAAATACCTGTACTGTTTCTGCTTAAACCTTTAACCAGAGTAAAAAAAAAATACGCTGTCAAAGGGGTTTAAAAAATCAAGCAATAAAACCTTTTCCTTTTCCTTTTTCTTTTTCAGCAAATGTATTCTTCGTACTCCCAATGGAACCAGTGAATCTGACCCCCCCCCCCCACCCCCACCCCCCCGGTTCATGGCTGCAACTTTTTACAATCAAATGGATTGAAGAAAACACTCTTTAAGCACGGCCCCTTCCCAGGGCCCAAAACAAAATAAACATACAAAAATAATACTCCATATAACCACAACATTTTATTCCAGGCAATGCTTGATGTGACCTAGATATGCCTAGGGGCCTTGTTGGCTGCTTGTGGTGGTTGACAACAAGTGATCGAGAACCACTTGGGCATGGGGCCATTCATCAATTATTTTACCAGTCAGAGAAGGTGGGTAATTTCTTTCTTTAGACTCTGGGCTATCCCAATTTACTTTTTCCCTTCTCTTTGTTGATCTTTTTTTCTGCATTGTCTCAGAAAGAGAGCAACTTACAATGGAATAAGCTTTTTTTCTGCATTGTCTCAGAAAGAGAGCAAACTTACAATGGAATAAAGCAGTGACTCTGCCTAGGCTTCATGGCTGCAACTTTTTTACCCCCCAAATCCTACTTTAGGCCAGGCATTAACCTGAAATTCGACGTCTTTCCGGCGAAAGGCAGATTGGCGTGAAGTGTTTGAGATGGAGAGAACGCTGAAAAAACAAAGAAACAGGAAACTGCTTGGAAATAGGAAGCCAACCATAAACTCCAACAGGACTTTTCCTAATAGGTAGCTACTTTGGCAGCAAGCTTGCTCTGAGAGCCAACGATGTAATTTGCCACTTATTCCACACCCAAACCCTATTTCAAAAAGAGAATCACTTGTGAGACTGAATAACAAGGATATTCAAAATCCCTAATAACAAAATTGTACTGTTACAAACATCTTTGACCAGAAATACTCAAAATCTATCAGACTCGTGGGAAGGTTGAAAGATGACACAGAAGAACTAGAAAATTCTAAAATCCAACAGTGCATTGGGGAGAAGGGGGAAAGATAATGCTCTTCAGGTACTCCAAACTGCATTCTGTTAGCCAGCTTCCACAGCATGTCTGTAAACAAGCTATTATTAGATTAAACAAGCTATTATTAGATTGCATAACACACCTGAGACACAAGTCAAGAAAATGCAGGTTTAAGTTGGAAGAAATCATCAGTAGTATTTCTTTCATCTTCCTCAGTTGTCCACCCCCCCTCTTTTTTTTAGGTTCAGAATCTGGAACAGGAAGTGATCTAGGCTGTTTGGAAGTGGTCTCTATCTTCTTACAAAACTCATCTAGGAGAGATCGCCCAGTTTTCCCCGTTGGGTCCTTCCCTTATGGAATCAACACATGCAGCAAGGGTAGCTTTCGCAGCTAACAGTCGACAGGCACGTCCTTAAAGGAGTGTGCTCTGAAATATTTCTGTCTGCTCAATGCGAAATTGGGATGTTGCTCTAGAGAACCAGCAAGGTTCTTCTTTTTAGCACCAAGAACCTGGACCACATTACAAGCAGGTTAGGAAAGACCACCAGCAGTCCCCATAAGTTTTGCAACAACAGCATTTCCTAGTTGAGAGAGAGGTTTGGAGCAATATACCCCATTCAACTCTAAACAAAATTGGACTCGACACAAGCTTCAATTGTCTTTTGCAAGACATCTTCAGGCAGAGGCTTGCTGTAACTGAATTATAAAATGATCTTTGGAAATACACAATTCAAACTAAAAATATGCCAAAGAATGCTAACAAAAATAAAATGAACGGCACAAAGGAGAAATTGGGAAAAACAATGTTAGGGGTACTGTGTTCTAGTCAGAACAATGTTAGATAATTGATATCCCAAATAAGCTAGTGGAGCTATTCTTATTTATACTGTAAAAGTGGGGAGCAACATTTTGAAAAGCATCACTTATAAAGAGTTAAAACAAAACTAAAAACACAAAACTAGTTTGAAATTAAAATGAACCCTTAAAAGTTAAAATGATAAAAATAAGGAAAAACAACACTAAAACAGCAAAAATAAGTTATTTTAAAATATAATGTCAAAATTGTACAATGAACTTTGAAAATACACAATGAAAACTACAAATATGTAGAGTAAATGTTAAAAAACCAACTGGAAAAAAAAATGCTTAAAAAGAAAAACTTATGGAAACCAAAAAAAGAAAACAAAAAAACAAAAACAAAAAAACAAAAAAACAAAAAAAAAAACAAAAACAAAAACAAAAGTTAGAGCACAAAAATAACAATATAGCTTGGAGTTGAATTATGGCAGATCTAACTTCATAGACGAAGAGTGTTGAAACCTCCTTGCCACACAATATTTAACCTCTTTGACAAGAAGCGATTGAGACTGACCTACATTACTTTGAACTATCATGATGTTATTAAAACTGTAAAACTATTATAACCCCCAAAGTATTATGACATAATAAAATAAATTTGTAACAGATACAAATAGAGAAGAAGTCAATCATTATGAGGAACAGTCTATAGGCAATCAATATATTGGGCCAATTCATCAATTATTTTACCTGTTAGAAGGTGGGTAATTTATGGCTTTCTTTTAATGAGTCCAATTTACTCTTTCCCTTCTCTTTGTTGAGCTTTTTTTTCCGCAAATGCATTCATTTGTCTCAGAAAGATAACCACACAAGAGAGAGCAACTTACAATGGAATAAATCAGTAACTTTGCCTTCCCAATCATAGCTTCATGGCTGCAACTTTTTTACCCTCCAAATCCTACTTTAGGGGGCCGGCATTAACCCTGAAATTCGACGTCTTCCGGTACCCGTTTCCGGCGGAAAGCGGATTGGCGCGGTAGATAGTGTTTTTGAGACGGAGAGAATTTTGAGGGGTGGGAGAGAACGCCGAAAAAACAAAGAAATAGGAAATTTAAACTGCTTGGAAATAGAAAACCCTAATCTTAGGCTGAAATTCGACGTTCTGGTGACCGTTTCCGGCGGAAGGCGGAGAGTGGGAGAGAGTGTTTGAGACGGAGAGAACGCCGAAAAAATCGAAAGAAATTGAAATCTAAACTGTGTAGAAATAGGAAACCCTAAACTCCAACGGTAATAAAATTGAAGTCGGCCCCTTATTTTAATTTAACATTTTGAATCACTGAAAAAAAAAAAAAAAAGTTTTTTTAAACAAATAAAATAAAGGACCGACTCCCTCATTCCCTATTTCCCTCTCAACGTCCCTCATTCCCTATTTCCCTCCCCGTTGAGAGAATTTAAAATTTATTTATTTTTAATTTTCAATTGCTCAATTTTTCTTTTGAACATAATTTCCTCTTTTTTTCAGTTTATTTCTTTAATTTCATTAGATGTCCATTATTTTTTGTTATAATTTCAAATTTAGACCTAGATTTTAATTTTAGCTATTTAATAAATTATTTTTTTTATATTTTTAGTCTAACATTTTTCTATTTTTAGTAAGAGCATTTTTATCTCTTCACATTTTTCTATGCGCGTAGCTATCATGTCTCACTAACTCTATAGCATCATCATATTGCTACATTTTTTAGTATATAATATTTGAATGTGTCACTTGTGATATGTGTTTCACAAGTAGTTTTATATTTAAAACGATTAAAATGAACGTACAAAGACAATTAAACCATTGATTTTGGATCATTGGAACTATGACCCTGTTTGATAACAAAATTGGCCTATTTATCAATTTTGGCCTTATTTGACCACTATTAATTGTAAGAGTTAATAACCGAAATGGTCCCTTGACTATAGCGAAATTACCGATTTGGTCCTTAACTATTATTTTTACCTAATTAAATCCTTGACTATGAAAAATTTATCCAATTTGGTCCTCTGTTTGGTCAGCTGTTAATTGACTGTCAAAATTGAGGGTATTTATGGAATTTCAATACATGCGCCATTTCCACTCTCTAATGTTTCTTGATTTTCTTCCTTTCCTCATCTTCGGCTACCAAGGATTTCTTTAGCAATGGTGTGTGGGTCAAGTTTGTGATTTTATCACTGGAATCAAAGTCGCTTTCCACAATCAGCATTTCGCTTTTCCCACTGTCATTTAGATCTGTGCTAGACAATATAGTAACAAAACTTCTTAGAGCTAATAGCCCTAGCAGGAAGGCGCGCCCGCGGACAAACATGGAAATTCTGGCCGGTTGCTGGGTTGAAAAGACGGAGTATCCAACCAAAAATTTGAGATTTTATTCTGAAATCAAAAATCCTGGGTATCAACAAGCGCAAGGCAAATTGGTTGAGCCAGAGCCCAGAGTTGTATCAAGGAGGAAATATATAATATGGGTTGGAATTTTCTTGAGTTTGCTGCTTTGTTTTGGTGTTTACGTTTTCATTTTATTTGTATATATTATGAGTTTGTTTGAATGTTAAAAGAGAAAAAGAAAAGCAGTTTGGGGTTGTGGTTTGTGCCACCATACAGAAGGTAGAGAGACGAGGGTGGCTGTAGTCTGTAGAGATACCCACTTGGAAAATTCTATGGATTGGATGCACAGTCGCCGAAGATATTAGATTGGAATACACAGTCGCCGGGGGTATTAGATTGGAATACACAGTCGCTGAAGATATTAGATTGGAATACACAGTCGCCGGAGATATTAGATTGGAATACACAGTCGCCGGAGGCATTAGATTGGAATACACAGTCGCCGGAGGTATTATTGGATGGTTTGACGTTGAAAGAGGCTGTAGAATTACATTTATGTCCTCACTTTTGACGGTAAGCAAACTAGCAAACTAACGGAGGACTAAATTAGGTAAAAATTGCATAGTTAAGGACTTAATTAGGTAAGAATGATAGTTGAGGACCAAATTGGTAATTAAGACATAGTCAAGGGACCATTTTGGTTATTAACTCTAATTGTAATTAACGCAATCAGCTAACGGCCATTTACCAAACAGGGCCAATAAATAGTTGATAACATTAGCTTATTGTATAAAAGTGTTTGATAAATTAGCTTATAGCTGTTTGGTATAATTTATTTTCTGAAAAAAGCTAATTGAAAAAATTGTTTGGAGTAACTTTTTGAATTTTAGCATTTTAGAGTTGCAAAAAAACTAATTAACCAAACACTTGTATTGATATTTTAACTAAATCAAACAATTAATAGTGGTCATGTCAAAATGGATAATTTTGATAGATTATTAACAGAAGCTAACAGATGGATTAAATTGAAAGCAATTGTCTAGAGTTATTGCAATCATGACAGGAATAAATAAATAAATAAAAGATATGGCAAAATTAACCAAACAGGCATAACATAGGGGCCAAGTTGATATTTTAGCCAATTACATTGTCAATAACTCAAGATTAACCTATGTCCAGTACAATGTTGCATATAGTTACCCAGAAAATGAACATAATGGGGTGAAGTGGGGAGAGAAAGTAATACCCCATAAATTGAGGATAATAATAAAGAACAAAGGATTTTTTTTTTTAATTTAATCGAAAATAGGTCTCAAGACTGCGTCAGTATTTCCTATTGCACCACTACAGTGGAAATCCAATATCATCTATCTGTCTGCAAGATGCATAGCCTGTGTTCACCAAGGCTGTAAACAAGTGTGATATATAACAAATAAACAGTGGATCTATCATTCAAACCGACTATAAAATCTATAACTTCAAACAACAAATACATACCTGACGGATTTCCCATCGACGCAGGTCAGTGTCGAAATCTCCACCAAAGGGACTCGTGAATTTTAACATCTGCACAATGTGTGAATGCTTTTTATATGTTGGAACTGAAGGCAGATAATCGCAGTGTAGAAGAATGCATGGCCGAGATTCGTGATGTTAATGTTCGAAAGAAGCATTTGGTGGCAACGGAATCACGGTGGAAGTGGCGGAAGAGAATCCATATACGGTGGCGGTAAAATTGTCCAGAATTTGGGTGTGCAACTGAGGAAGTTGACTGAGGCCGAATGTGTACTATGCCTTATTTTAAAATTACTACAGAGTATTTCATAATTCATAATTTATTTACGTAAGAGTTAATTCCACAAGAGATCCCTTATCTTTGGTGTTAATTTCAAATTTAATCTCACAATTATGTATTTGTCATTTAAGATTATAGACTATTGTTTTTTTTTGGACATTTTTGGTCCTTATGATCTCCTGACTTTTCCTAGTTGTAATAAGGGCATTTTCGTCTATTTAATTTTTTCTTTTGTTATTTTTTCAATTTCAACTGGTTTAATTGGTTTAGGACTTTATTACAAATCGATTGAAAAATATGGTTACTAAAAATCAAAGGTTACCTAAAGTCCCAAATCAATTAAACTGGTTGAAACCACAAAAATAACAAAAAAAAAAAAAAACTATGAAAAGACAAAAATGTCCTTCCTAAATATATAACAAGTGATGAGAATGACTAAAAGTGTCAAAAAATAATAATTTGGGATGTTAAATGACAAAAACGATAGTCAGAACTAAATTTGAAATTGCCACAAAAAACAAAGGTCAAGGACTCGATCCTTGGTTTTGGGTAGGAGCTGCCCCTCTAGGTCAACTATCTCACCCAAAAAAGGTGTCTAATATATATATATATATATATATATATATATATATATATATATATATATATATATATATATATATATATATATATATTGAGTTTGTCTCATACTACGAATAGGAATAAAACGGGTAGACCCATTCTATAGGTATTGAGTTTGTCTCATACTACGAATAGGAATAAAACGGGTAGACCCATTCTATAGGGATTGGATGCCTATAAATATATTGGTTGTATTCCTAAGAGGTCGGGTCACCACTATCACCATCACTATGAATAAGAGTATGATTTCACTCCCGTGGACGTAGTATATATAAATATAAATATATATATATATATATATATATATATATATATATATATATATATATATATATTTGTGTGTGTGTATGTGTGTGTGTGTGTGTGTAATCTAAAGTATCTTAACCAATATCAATATCAATATTAATATAACAAAATTTCATAAAAGTAAATATTTTAAGATGCATAATTATGGTTTGTGGCATAAATTTTTATAAAATCAATAATAGTTTTAGAGGTTTCGCTGTGATAGTACCCAAGCATAATTTTTGCAACAAAATTCTATAAATTGACGTGATCTATATTTCCTCTTGTTGCCACTTCCGCCGTAAATTAATTATTGAGTGCACATTCAAAAACAAAATCAAATCCTCCTTTCCCAAAAATACAATGATAATAGGCATAATTTATCATTTGTGTTCAATATGTACAATAAATTAGGCGTACCGTTTCATCAATGCCCAATGCGTGATTTTAATTAATTCATAAACTAATTGCAATGCAACAACGATGAAATTACATATAACCAAACGGGTTGTGAATTACAATTCATTTGGAGTATCCCGTGAATTGCAATTCAACAAAATGAAGAAATTACAATTTCGTGAAATTACAATTTCCTCCAACAAAATATTGTAATTGGAATGACCAAAAATTATAGTGAAATTGCAATGCAGTACATGTCTACCAAACAATCTATTTCCAACGTTTCTCATTTCCAACGTAATGTATAACTGCGGCCCTTTTCACCTTCTTTCTCTCTTCTTCTCTTCATCTTTGTCTCCCTTTAGATATTGGGTTTAAACTCCTTGATTTTCTGCAGTTTCTTGAGTTCTGTCTGTATCTTCTCTTGTTCTTTCATTCTCCTTATGTATTAACATTTCCTATTTGGCCTTTAACAACTCCTCAGTTTGCTCCTTTTCAATCTTCAATAAGCTTTTCCTGCATTTCTTGGATTTCCTTCTCAAATGACGACGACGCTTCTGTTTGCTTTTTCGCCTTTGACGCCCCTTTCTTCGAATTCTTATGGCAAAGGCCCTCGCGGTTCTCTTTTTCAGCGGATTCTCCCACCGGAATTGCAGCAATGGATACTTCGTCGGAGACTGAGGCGGCCATTATATTGGCCTCACTTGATGAAGCCTTCTGCAGATTCTTCAATGCCTTTCTGGGTGTTCCTTTATTCGCCAGATTAGCGTCAGCTGCAGCAATGTCGGCCATGGCTTTTAAGGGAGGAGGGCGGAGAATGAGAGATAGTGAGGGTTGATGACGTCAACTGAT